GGCAACAATCGACCATCGCTCCACCCCGACAAGACCTCCGTGTCTTCATCCGTCTAGAAGCCGGAGCTCCGGCCAGGGCCCACAGTGGCTACGCAATCCGGACCCTGATCCGGGAAAAACTCGGCGCCGTCTCAGACAAGATTCGACAGGTGTTTGAAGTCAGATCAGGATGGGCCATCCTGGCTGCCGACCTCGAAACGCGCGACTTTCTCGTAGAGAAGCGGGCCGAGTGGGCGGCTGAGCTGGGAGCTATGGCAGTAGAAACGAACAAGGAATGGCACACTTATGTGGTCTCACACTTTCCCAGAAGACTGACCGACTTTCGCGGCAATGAGGTGGATAGTGACAGCGTTGTCAGCGATGAGATAGAAATCCAGACAGGGCTCAAGCCCGTTGATATACGTACTGGGAGACAATTCTCGGATAATCCCTTGACCAAGACTCTACTTGTGTCCTTTCTCAAGCCCACCAAGAGATTCTGGTCCCTCTTTGGCAGCCGTGCAGCCAGACTCATAGACAAAACCGTCCAACCTAAACAGTGCGAAACGTGCTGGGACTACCACTTTGCCCGCAACTGCCGTAGACAGCCAGTCTGCCGACGCTGTGGCAAGACTGACCATATCGCAGACGGCTGTGCTGCACCAGAACAGTGCGTCAACTGCTTAGGGCCCCACGACGCCAGCCTTCGTAAGTGCCCAGCTCGGCCGAAGAAAGTGCGCGGCGTCCTTCGCCGGCTTACCAAAGAACAACGAGAACATGTCCGAATGGTGGGCGCGGAAACATACCGACAACGATATTCAGAAACACAGCTAGAGACGCATATGGAATCCCAACAAGGAGCGTCTGAACTGCGAAGGGGCGACATCGGACTAGATGAACAGCCAGACGCTCACGCTCCGAGTCCAGCTGCATCGGGAGCACCCTCGTGCATCATGGTGGCCACAGCTCCCCGGGCTACCTACGAAGCAGAGGAGGAGCCTGAACACCATGGACTAAGCTCACCGAAGAAGAAGCGTCGTATAATTCTGACAAGCCGTACTCATGACTATGACCAGGAATAGGTACTCGCAGACACGAAAGAACGACAAGAAGCCTCTCAAGGTCTTCCAGGCCAACGTCGGCAAGATCCCTCCGGCCCACGACTGCGCCCTGGCGCTAGCCGACTCAGAACGATATGACATTGTACTCCTGCAGGAGCCGTGGACAGCTCATACTAAAGCCCGCTGCCTAACCAAGACACATCCTGCGTACGACACGTTCACGCCAGTCGACATGTGGAACAGCAACGACACTCGGCCTAGAGTGATGACATATGTTCGACGAGACCCAAGACTTCTGGCTGACCAGATTCGCCCCTTTGAGACACGTGACATTCTTTGGATCACAGTCAACGGCATGACGATAGCCAACTTTTATCGCCAGAACGACGAGAAGGACGCCTTGAACACGCTACTTCGATGGCCTGTGCCGGAGCGCTGCCTCGTCGCTGGCGATTTCAATGCCAGACACCATAGTTGGCAGACGGGCCAAGCTACGAATCGCGGCCAAGAAATTGCAGACTGGACGTCAGAGAACGACCTCAACCTTCTCAATACTCTAGACATACCGACAAATCCGCACGGCAACACAATCGATCTTGCATTCACCAACCTGCCGCTGGCCGAAACTACTGTCGAGGACCACCTCGCCACTAGCTCCGACCATTTCACACTCAGCTTGACCTTCCCTGATATTAGATCGACTCCGATGCAGCCGGCCAAGATCCGAGTGACGACGGAAGACGAGCTCAAACGATTCGTCGAGATCGTAGAACTTGGAACCACGGAAATCCCCCTGACACACTCGACCCCTGCGGAACTAGACGAGCTTACGTTGGCACTCGTAAATCTACTAACATCAGCAGCAAAAGCATCTGGCCGGCCTGCACGCAAAGGTGGACGTCCAGCTCCCTGGTGGACGGAGGAGTGCGCCGACGCCGCGGCTACTTTTCGAGCCATCAGACGTAGCTACCCTCTGGGCTTCAACCAAGATGTCCAGATGGCCAAGCGAGACTTTCACCGTGTAGTTCGTCGTGCTAAAAGGAAGTATTGGCGGAACCTCATCGATAGCTTCTCCAGCAGCAGCGCTGTTTTCAAAGCTGTCCGGTGGCTGAAATCCCCTGGAGCCTTTCAGCCTCCACCGCTACAAGTCGACAATGTTGTCTATGAGACCCAGATAGACAAAGCCAATGCACTCCGACAGGCTACGTTAGAACGAAGAACTGCAGAGGACGACATTGCAAACCCTTGGACGCCTGTCACTCCTCGTAGACCGATACCGTTCCCTTCAGAGATCTCCATGGAAGAGGCGCAGTATGCAACCCTGAGCACAGGCAACACGTCCCCGGGATCGGACAACATCACAGTCAAACTTCTCGAGACAGTATGGCATATCATCGGGACACACATCCGCCGTCTCTTCGCAAGATGCCTTGCAACAGGCCATCATCCAAAAGTATTCAAGGAAGCGGAGGTGGTCATGATCGCAAAACCGGGGCGCAGAGACCTCACAGAACCACGAGCATGGCGACCAATCTCACTGCTCTCTTGTCTCGGCAAGGGACTCGAGCGGCTGATCGCACGCCGTCTGGCCTGGGCAACGGTGCACTTCAGCGTCCTTCACCCACAGCAAACGGGGGCGTTGCCCAAGAGGTCGGCAACAGACCTGGTGACAGCCCTGATACATGACATCGAAGAAGCGTTTGCGAGCAAGAAAGTGGCGACTCTAGTCACAATGGATATCCAGGGTGCTTTCGATAGCGTCATGTGCAATAGGCTCGTCCTGCGTCTTCGCGAACAGGGCTGGCCTAACCATTTGGCTCGCTGGGCTGGCTCCTTCATGAGCGGCCGGTCTGCGCGTGTCAGGTACCAAGACACCGTCACGCCCTCTTCTCCCCTACAGTGCGGCCTCCCTCAGGGGTCGCCGGTATCGCCGATTCTCTTTCTGCTCTACACTGAGCCAATCTATCGACTGGGCAATCCCCGGGGTCGCTTCGGCTATGCAGACGACACGGCCATCCTGTCCATAGCCGACACGTTAGACGAGACTACTGCTATGGCATCCAGCTCCATCGCCGAGATGGTGCGATGGGGCGCAGCGAACGGCGTTTCCTTTGACACGAAGAAGACCGAAGTCATGCACTTCTCCCGTAGCAAGCTCAGGACTGCTCCAGCAGTACGCCACGGCGATGCAGAGAAGCACCCCGAATCAGCTCTGCGCTGGCTTGGCATCTGGCTGGATAGCAGGCTATCGTTCAGGCTCCACGTCGAGAAGTGGGCGGCTAAAGCGAAGACAGTAGCCTATCATTTACGGGGTCTCACTAACACGATACACGGCCCTCTACCGAGCGCCGTTCGAAGTGCTGTCAGAGCATGTGTCGAGCCAGTGCTACTTCACGGCTTGGAGGCGTGGTATCCAGGCAGCACTAGGCCGCGATGGAATCAGCCCACAAAGGAACTACCGTCGAGCAATCAGCATCTCATACAAATAATGAACAAAGCCATGAATCAGGCCATGAGAGCGATACTACCTGTCTGGAAGACGACTCCCACCGCCATCCTACATAGGGAAAGCGGTATACCACCAATTGACCAATTGCTCGAAGCAAAGCGACTAAGATTCGCCGCACGACTTAAATCGCTAGACGAGGCTCACCCTCTGGCGGGCCGAACGCGCCCGCGTCGACCGCCTGACCGACCTACCTACCACGACCTCATCAAACGAAGATACCAAATACAGACAAAAAGTGTCTTCAGGACACGTCTCCGACGCACCGACGAGCTGCTTGCGCCCTGCGAGCGGCCAAAACTCGTCCAGCGATGCTTCCATCAAGAACAGATGCCTCCACTCCAGATGGCGTCAAAAGAGAAATCGACCGGCGCCTTCCTCCACTGGGTTGAGAGACTCGACCCGCTCACCTTGGTCGTATACTCAGATGGCTCTCTATCCTCGGAAGGAGCTGCAAGCTACGGCTTCACCATTCATCAGAACAATGTCCCCATCTTCGATGGATCAGGTCGCCTTGGGCCTGCCGAGGTCTTCGACGCTGAAGCTACTGGGGCATTAGAGGGCCTCAAAGCTGCCCTGAACCTGCAAGGGTCAGCAGCGCAAACCATTTTCATCTGTCTAGATAACCTCGCGGCCGCCACGTGCCTGCGAGGCACGCCCTCCGACTCCTCTCAAGACGTCTTTCTCGAGTTTCAGGCTCTAGCGGCATCGCACGGAGCCACACAAGTACTCTGGGTCCCAGGACACTCCTCTATCCCTGGCAATGAACAGGCCGATAAACTGGCAAAAGCAGCGTCATCACTCCTCGAACCTGAAGGTGCTCAACCAACGCTGGCTTACCTACGACGGATCGCGAGACAAAAACCAAAAGAAGCATTCGAGACGTGGTGGTCTACCTCCGCTCCTGAGCAATACAAGAGACTCAACCTCAAGGCGACTACAGGCTGCCCACCAGAGCTGACGCTCCCGCGCGCAGCCTTACACCACTTGCTGGCAGCGAGGTCCCTCCACGGGGACTTCGCCGCGTATCACGAGAGGTTCGACCACGGCGATGCGCGCCTGGTCTGCTCATGCGGCCGACGCAAAGCACCGGATCATATCTTCTACTGCAGAAAGGTACCGCAGCGTCATCGGATGAGGCTAGCACCCTCACCGAATGCAGCAGTCAATCTAGCAATAGGAAGAGACTTTACCAAGTTTATCGATCTGTCTAAAGACAGCGCGTTCTTTGGGAAAATTTGCCCTCGCTACTAGGCGCCCACGACTTGAGAAGCACTCGCGACTCTCTTTCTTTCTCTACCATCGACGTATTTCCTTGTTACCTTTCCTTTCTCTCTCATATACTCACGGCCAGATGAAGGGCGGGCCAACGCCCCTCATTTGGCCGCGACTACCTTGAGGCAGTTTCAAGCTGCCGCATGCACAGGCTGATCTCAGCCTCCCTGATATCAGGCTCCAAAAGCGGCTGTAATGTCCCGGCTGCGCCTTGTCATCCCGCTGACGGGTAACAAGCTCGATAGGATGCGCCATTTGTGCCGATGAGATGCTGGATAGAGTGTGTTTGGTCTACTAACGCGGTTGCAAAAATTGGAATCTGAGGGAAGACTAATTTCGCGTCGCGAATGACTAATCGCCCTTGTAGCCAATGGTATTTCTGTAATTAGCTTATAGATAGATCCCCAATTCTCTAGCTCAGCACGTCCTGTGCCCCAGCAGGGGACTCTCGGGGCCTACGGCCCCCCGGACGAAAAATATACATAACATAACATAACATATCTGTCTTTATTGAGCGACTTGACCGCCCGCATACTATTAGCTTTGTTCTTGGACTGCAAGTAAACGGCTAATAGTTTAACTTAGGACAGAATAAATGAAAGACAGGCTTATATAGGTTTTCAAAACTTGCTTCTCAAGTGTGACTTAAACTACTGAGCTCACACAACACAACGGTAGGTTTTCAATTTACTGCTAGCTTGAGCTTTGGTACATGACAGTGCAAGCATGACTAAGTTGGCTGATAAAATGTACTACTCCAAAATAGGAAATGTAACGTTTAGCTATATTGGATAACATGCCATGACTACAATATTAATCGAGATTGAATAAAGCTAGACTCAGAAAGCTAATTCGAGCCTCGGAAAGGGGATCGCATTTTAATGTAGCCGAAAAACGTGTTGGTGGCTTTGAAGCCCAGGTCGAATTTGCCTACTGGAATGGCGCGTCCGCTCACAGTACTTAATAATTGGCACTGTCAAACTCTCTCCACTTCCCGCGTTTACGCCCCAAACTTCCAGGCAGCAGCGGTATTTTTAAACACTTCATTGACTCAATCGCAAATTGCTTTCACGCATCAGTAAGGCAGCCGATTTCGCAATAGTCATTTTTCTTACATCTCTCCTCATGGGTCTTCCCTTTTCAGCATTTCTACAGTCATCATGAGCCAAGAGCTAAATGACAAGCAGTTTTACCAAGCTTCGGCCCCATTATTAACGATCGAAAGGAAAGCATTTATCAATGCTACATGGAAGTCTTCCAAAGCCTTCAACGAATTTGAATTGTCAGGCTACTTTAGGTTCCTTGAAACAGAGCGAACAAGTAAGACTAGGGTCGACGATCCCGCATACTCTCACCTTTGTTTTAAACACATTTTCGACATTCAAAGTATTCTCTACGAAAACCTCAATGAACCTCCGCTACGCCTACAAGACTTAGTCCAAAGAAGCTTAGTCTTGTGGGAACTAGAGCTCGAAGTCGTTCAGGACTTAATCATTCTCGTTATTAAGTTAACATTTATGGTTCGGGCCGAGTTCCCAAACTCCTACTCGCATCCTTCGCCATTCCAAATGCAGATGCAAGACAACCAAAGCCTTAAAGACACGCTTAGGGAGTTGCAAAATGTGCCACCTTTACAGAATTTGGGTACACAAAATGAGCTGCCGTCGTGGTTTAATGTTATTGATCTGGAGAAAAAGGCTAACCTGAGAATTGGTTGGACTGACCATCTTGATGAACATCTGACTTTCCAAAGTGGAACTCTTGTGATATTTCGACATATCGCAGTCCTCATGTATATGAGAGAATCAGGAATCTTGTGAGTCTGGGCGCATAATGTCATGCTACGGGGAAGAAAATGCTAATTTTGCAGAACCAGCAATATTTTTTCTTCAGAATTCCTAACAGAAACACAGCGGTCACTCCTGTCATTTTTCCCCTCAACCGAACGCAAATACGGGGCCGGGGACTACCTTGACTGGTTTCAGAATCACGGGCCTGTTGAGGACTGGCAGAGATTACTCACAAGACACGATCGAACTTCTCACCTTACTCGATCTTATGAAGACTTTCCTTTCTGGCATCGCAGGCTTTTGTTCCTTCTCAATATCTCTAAAAATCAAGAAAGTTGGAACATCAAGAGGCTGTGGCACGATGATCGTGATCAGATTCTATGGTGGACTAGATGGGGTTCCATTACATTCATATTCTTATTTGCCCTATTTGGGCTCACGAAGTCAATCATGGGTATCGTTCTGGCTGTCCATGCATTTCGCACTTGATATGAGGGTCAAGTTTAGAATGGTGGTGGTGTCCCGGGGTATTTTGTACGGCCACAAGCGTCAGAATCTGAATCTTATGATTTTGGGTCCTCGAGAGGCTAGTGAAACATTGTCGTTTGAACACTCATCTGTTGTCAAATTACAATTTGCGATCAATAGTGCCAGGGATGTGCAGGAGACGGGCAGTAGTTGCGACAAAGTGATGGTGGTGGGCTAATGATTATCCGGCACGCCGTTCAGGCCATATGTTCAACTGACTCCCTGCTACGGATGGACACAATTTTCAGGTGCGGACATTAATGCGTATGTCCCAATAGCGATTAAGGTTCGAGACGGGGAATAGTACTTCCTCATTGTTTGTGACTTTATTCCTAAAGGACATCTGGAAGTCAAGAATAAGTTTTTTCATGTCACTAGGTTCTTGGACGTGCCGCTCAACCTCAAGAATTAGTTGTCGGCAGGAGTTCTTGTTGAGTTTTCAGATATTGTGCGTAGGCAAACTCGACTTAGGGTTCAAAGCCACCAGCAGAAAGTGTACAGCTGGAGCCGTTTATGAGTCTCGCTCGCTATTTGCCACTGCTAGATCGCAAAATGGTCTTTGTAGCCCTATATCTTGATGACTTGGAGGTACTTCCAAAGTATTCACTGGCAGGACTACGTGAGTTCAATTGATAATTACTTAAATCACCGTAGTTCTTATAACAAACTCCTCTTGCGGTATTTCTCCACACGATTTGCAAACTACCTGTATTTGGATAACTCGTCCATGGTTCCAAGCTTCTCTTCGAAACAAGACCTAACCTTGTTCTCATGTCCCCAGGCGGCTTCACTTCCAGCCTTTAACATTTCCCCTTCTTTACTATGGCGATAAGTCTCGATCTTCGCCAACTGTACTAGGTGATGCGGGATATTCGGTACTGAAGGCGAAATGAAATTTAGCTATACCTCGATCTCTGCACGACTCTTCAGCACCGTTTCTGATTCTTGTTTTGGCTCCCTCGAATTTGAATTTTCCCATTAACTACCTGCGATCCTCAAGAATTCTGACCAAAATATTGAACAAGGTTTCGCGTGAACAAATAACTTCCAAGACTTTTGAAGCTTTATCCACATACACATTCATAGCAGAAAAGGAGTACTACTGCACCCAGATATCAGCAAGCTTTTCATCCATCTTTTCGGTAGCCCATTGCTCAGTGATTATCCCCAGGATCTTTTCTATTTCCCCTCTGTCTGAGATGTTCTTCCACGATTATGCAAGAATGTGAGAATGAGTTCTTGTATCCTGAGCTGGCGCTGTGCTTCGGCTATCATCGTCGCAGGCTTAATCTTTTGTTTCCTTATCTCCACGCACCGCGCCTTTGATAGCCAATTGGCAATCCTGCTTTCATGATTCCCTGCTAACTCGATCGGAGACTGTCCGGTGTTATTGAGTTGATCCTCTTGGGCATCATCTTTCCATAATATCTGGAATGAATCAAGACGGCCCTCAGCTGCAGCAAGGTGTAGGACGTTGTTGCCATCCTGCATGGAAATCATACCACTTTTCATCGATAAAATGTTGGAGTATGTCAACGCGTTCTGGATGTTTGTCAGGACCGAAGATAAACCAATCAATTCGATTGGGATATAATCCACCATAGGCACTGGCGTCATTGCAATACCAGTCATTGGTCTCATTGGGATATAGTTTTTTCATTTAGCGAAGAACATGAACGCAGCCGTTCGTGACAGCAGTTCCACAGGCATGGATGACTTGGTCCTCTGTCAACCGCTGTATGTTATCATCAACACACAGATATTCGACGGACGATTTATGTCTGCACTCTACGGTAGCAGTCAAAGTACCGATGTGCTCAGACCTGGCCGCCATGGTGACCGGATTGTAGGCTTCGACGTCTATGAAGTGCTCCACGCTCGTTCCTAGGGCTCGCATATCATCAACTCCACCATGATAAGCCATCCAGGTATATGCCCAGCATCTATCGTCCAGCTTCAATTCTGCACCAGGTTTCGGATCCCGGCCAAAGCATGCCGCAGTCAAAAATGCGTTGCGTTTTCGACCCTTGTCCGAAGCGAGATCTTCAATACTGGACAAATAAAAATATTTGGATGCACCATAGCGGCGTCGTGCCATAAACGCTATTGCCACAGCTTCTTTCCACGACGGTCCCCCACGATCCGAACTGTTCTGCAACTTGGCCAGGATTTCGTCAACTACTAGATAGGCTTGGCCATCAAAAAGATATAAGAATCTTTGAAAAATCCAATATGGGTTCATGCACGGTCGCGCAGATGTGTCTGGTTTTGATGTATAATAGCAGTTCGAAAAAAACTGTTCCGCATAGCTGCGTATATACGTATATGTCACGTTCATACACGGTGGCGAGGTTGCCCAAGTCAAGATAATTGAAGATACGGTCCCAAGCCTCCTGAGATAGCGCAAAGATTCCAGATATCTTGGGAAGTAAACTTACGGTATTCATTGAAGTTCATGTTGGTAAACTCATGGATCAGCAATTGAGTATACTGTCTCTACGATACAGTAAACCTAGCAAAAATTTGTATCGGTCTGATTGGGCAGGAAACCACGGATTAATCGACCCCCCACAGCCAATCGTAAAACGGGTGCCAGGAAGAAACATAACCCACAGCATCTGCCTGCTCCACTATGCCCCCAACCCCCAACAGGCTGCAATGGTGCTTACTAGACGATCATCCCTGGAGAATCGAATTTGAGTTTGACTGTGTAGCAGCATTACTAGCCCTTTGATCTGCGACCGATACAGGATGATAAGGCGCGACACTAAGAAAAGCAAAATTATGATTGAATTGGGGATCCGACATCGTCACCAATCCTACACCTGTTGGTGTTCCGATTTTCGACCTTGACAAGGCTTGTCAGCTTGAATGCAAAAAGATTGACGATCGAAGCTCCTGGTTCTTCCCCATCAGAACCCATTGGCACTAGTGCTGTGCACTAGCTCTTTTCTGGTGATGCTAACGGCAGCCACGGAATTTCTCAACCGTGTTCCGAAAGCCTGCGGTGCTTCTCTCGGGTGCAAGACGAAAGGAGTTGATAGCGCTTCCCAGGCAGCCATGTACAATTGAAATAACGTCATCTTCAACCACTATAATATCAACGAATAAATGAGCCGCCAATTACAATTCCGAAATAAACTTTGATCGAACTAGATTCGAAAATTGCTTAGTATTCATGTGATTATGGACCATCAACTTTTCTGCTCTCTTTCTGCGGTCTCTACTTGTTACGCATCCGTTCTTAGCTTGTGGCGCACTCTGTTGAGGTTTGTCCCTCAGCTGGCAAAATCAAATGGAGACTTCGGTAAATTTAGTGTTAGTATTCGAGGATATGATCCGGTATGACAAAAACCAAAATTTGAGTAACGTAAATGCTCGGATTTGCACTTGATAGCTCGTGGACCACGACGCAGACGTCATTAACAGTCTGATACCCTATAGCGGCCTTCCTATGCCTAAATGGCTATGGGTATAATGACCATCTACTGCGAGGTACGGAGTACATATTGGCCAGCTGTGATACACACCGTCAGGAAGACCTTGAACATCATAAGGTTAGTCTTTCCACCTTCAATGGCGCATTTGAAAAGTTTTCATACATCGGCATCCATGCAGCAGCCCGGTCTTCTTCCTTCCGTCCATGCGACCAATCGACGACCAATGTGGGTCTGTCAATGCTATGCTGGCCGCGAACACTTCACCCATGCGCGGACCCATGTTGATAGTTCACCTCGTGGTTTTACCCGTATCTATCGGGTTCTTCACAATTCTGACAGTTTGGAAACTCATTCCAAGAAAAGGAGACAACAGATTTGCTTCTCAAGGCGTTGATTGGAGTTTGCAGAATGATCGAAGAGTGGGAGAGAAGATTGGCAAGTAACATCCAAGTCACTGATCGATCAATCTAATCTGCTGCAGTTAGTAAGCGCTGTCACCATTGTGCTCCTCAGTTCACAAATCCAACCACTATAGCTATTCCTTATCAGTCTTAGTATCCGAGTGAAACTGGGTCAGACGTTCTATTTAATTCACGGACCGCCCTAACCGGAGGCTTGTTGAACTACCGGATGCTTGCCAAGACACCCGCGTCACAGGACCAGACAAGCATGCGGATGCGAGCTGTTTATTCGAACCGGTTTATTCGAACCGGCTTATCCGTGCCTAACGAGGCAGGGATGACTAACCTTTTTGGGGCTAGACCCCACGGGGCTGCTCGTTTTGTGCTAGCTGAAAGGAGAGCATGGCCGTCTTTGTTGCATACAGTGGAGTATCGATCTAAAGTAGGCGTCTAATAAAAATAAAGAGTTCAAGGTTGAGCCTTGTCGGGGTCTGGGACACGCTGCCATGTCGGAAGGAAATGAGAAACAAGGCAAAATCGACAGTGTCCCCCACGGCCGGCACATTAACGGCCTATATCCCTGCACCACCCCTCTTAGAATCGCGCGTCAGCCGCGATGTCAGAAGCAGGCACGCATCTGGGTAATCTATGTAGTGCGCGAAAACACGCTCCTTGCCCAAGTCTGAGGGGGCCAAAGATCTTTCAAAGAGAAAGGCTGCGCTCGTACAACAGCACTCTACAACTCAGTGTACGTTTTAATTAGCTTGAGATGTGTGACGGCTGCCTAAATAGGGTGACTTCCCGAGCGGAATGGTGGCTGGGAAGCGGAAGCCTCGAATCTCGATGATGCAGCTCCATAACCATATCCCGCAGATCCGGCGCAGGAAGACTTCCGAGATAGCACGTCCCCACAGGGACTCATTTGCGTGATTAAAATTGAGCTTGTGGTGCGACTGACTCAGGGCCCGGTTGCAAAGGTTAACTTTACGCGTCAGTCAATGAACTAAGGAAAGTGTCTTAATTGAAACATTCAACGGTTTATACTGCTGCATTGATCAACTCATCAGGGCGAGTCATGCGACATGATTGATTTCAAAAGCTGCGATCGCTCATTCTGGCAAGAGTCTGATTGAAAAAGACAGTAGCGAGAAACCAAGGGACATGAGCAGTCTGGCTATTGAGGCTGGTCTGTCTCCTTTCACCCTAAAAAGGTTAGTTAATCTATAGATACATGACCTCCCGTTTCGCTTTGACGCCATGATTAGACCCATGAATGCCGATGCTTCGCAGACATTTCGTTCACAACCATGAGGGACGGACTCTGATCCCTGCTATTCCCTGCCTCGGTTTCACAGCACTAAATTAGGTCCCAAGCTGCCGGAGACTTCGTTGATTGTTGATTGGGTCGGGAAGTGCCAACTGCGTAATACCCAGCCTTTCGGCCATTCTCGTCGAATGAACTGAAGTAACCGGTGCCATCATACTGATCTTGTTATATGTACCAAGACAGGGCCGATACAAGCAAGATCCTGTTGAATCGAGTTGACTGCCACGGGAGCTGGAGTTGTCACTTTCGGATTAAACCATCTGCAAATATCTCAAGTTTCTTTACTCTTACCAATCGCCTTTATCATGTCTCCACTGCTCGGCCTGGTAGCTTAATAAAGTTAGATTCTTTCCTGTGCGGTATCAGGTGAAGCCCGTGAGCAAAGTGTCGACACAGATCGCGCTTCTTGATGCTCGGGCAATTGCCTCGAAGGGGTAATGATTTGGGTGGGTGAATTTATCATATTCATAACGAGGGCATCGCTCGCGACTTCTTGGCTGTAGGCAGGGGTTTCATAATCCATGACAGCAGGCAAAATGCTGTTGGTGATCGATACTGAGTATTGCTTTCTGAACCAACAGAACGAGAGGCAGACGTCCCGACAGTATGGCTCACGGGGGGGTACTGAATGAGCAATACATTATAAGAAGAAAAACAGCGCCAGACAGGAGGGCAGAGTAAAGTTGTTGACACTGTCAGAAATCGAGTTTTTCTCGTTTTCCCCTCGTTTCTTTTCAATAAGTTTAGTTTCGCGACACTCATTACATCGCAGCTCATCATTTAGCTCCCAAGATGGACTGTGATTTCTCACAGCAGCAAGGGCTGTTCATACATCCACACCCCAGCACTACCCAACCCTTCGACCCATCTGGCTCAGCTCCTCTACCGCACTCAATTGCTGTCGCCGATTTATCAGCGCCTCCATTGCAAGATACAGCACAGACTATGCCCTTCCCACATCTGGGTAGTTCCGCCCTTCCCGCTCAAAACATTCTTTTCTACAATGTGGTACCGGAGCCTACTCTGAGTTTCTGTCCTTGGGGTTATCGACGTTGTCCAGGCCACGACTGGTGTCGTGTCTTACACCCTCTACAAAGCTCCATCGACTATGGCTCCATAAATCACTCGATCTCGGACAAAACCCTGTTCACGTCCACCCAAGGCACCTTTGACCAGCAATCCCTTCAAGCAAGTCCACCTGTAGACGCAAATATCTACTCATATGAATATACCATGAGATGTCTGTTGCCTAGCGAGCGATTCATCTTCGAAGAGAGACTTAAAGACACATCATGGGAAAATATCCTAAGAGAGTATAATCGACGCTGGACCCCAGTTGGCCATGACACCGCGCTCATGAAAAGGCTGCAAAAATTACGGAAAAAATATCCTGTCATCAATCATATCCTCCCATCAAGGACAGGAACCACTGAACGGTCAGGACATAATGCACATGCGGTTGGAATCCCATGTCCTAGTTGCGGACTGTAGGATCAATAATGTCGTTGAATTAAGATGAAGAATTTAGAGTAATTGTACTACAATTAATTGTAATAATGGCCAACTGCAGCTGTGCGTTTTACTTATGGTGCATGTATCTACAGCTTGGTGAAAGGGCGAATCAGATCTGAGCCTTTCGTTCTTTCTTTCTTTCTTTCTTTCTTTCTTTTTTTTTTTTTGAGATGCTCCTTCTTTTTCCTGGCTTCCATAATACCTATGGCAAGTCAAGTCACAAAAGAGGAGAAGATTGCCGTTTCGCACTTGTAGATGGAAGAGCGCTTATATCTTGGTGCCGAAGATTCCTATTGAACAATTCTTTTGATATGGACTTTAAAATAACCTATAGGGACATGTATATCTGTCGCAAGGTATCATCTAAGCTGGCTCAGGACCAAAATAGATCGATATTGATGATTGTGCTAACACCGGCCAACCCTTATAGTTTTGAGGGGAGCACTGGAATATCGTCCGGGTTTCTGAACGCACGTAGACTGTTCATAAATGCTTCCCACGATTCGTCAGAGGTGATAGGTGCTATCACGTACTCGTCTATATCAGATTGGGAAGCAGATTCGGATCTGATCTGGGCGAGGACGGCATTGTAAGACTCAGAAGCTCGAGAGGGTGCATATACCTGCGCCGCTCGCACAGGCGCAGGCATAGGATCCAAATCCTCACACAAGCAGATTCGCTCATACAACAACAGCACATCCAACGAAAGCCCTGCGCTCTCGGCAGCCTCGTAGGCCATGCGATGCCCAATTGCTTCGGCCAGCGATCGGCATCGAGGTAGAATGTGACGATCAAATGCAGCGCCACGATGTTCTTCATAACCCCCGACTCTCTCAAGCCGCGTTTTCATGTCTGCCAGTAACTCTTCCTCGCGTTGGGCCACGCGAGACGTTCTGTTTCGTGCCTGTGGGAGATCTAATTTCCCTCCCAGAAACTCTGACATGAAGCCTATGAACGGAAATGGTCAGCTTACATCTACAATCAAGGCAAATGCCTGCAGACAACTGCCGATGGTACATACGAATGCACAACACCAATGTATCACCTTCGGCAATTGAATTTCCGTGAAACGTTAGATCCAGCTCGCTTATCTGATTGTACGCGAAAAGACCTTGCCACCCGCATCTTTCGCCAAGAGACCTCAGGACTTGAGAGGCTCTCACTACGGTCGCCTTGAAAATGGTGGCAAGGGCGTGCTGCATGGGGTCAGTTAGATCAGGACACATGTTTATGGTCCAATGAGCGAATGCATGCAAGACCTTCCCCTGAACCCATCCCTCGACAATAGGCTGTTGTTGAGTAGTGAAACTCATAATCTTCTTTCTTGCTTGCACATCGGTGGCTGTGATAGTCCTTCTTTCGCTATAAACAGCAGCTATACGTGTGCTGACCTTGATAGCCGAAATGCCCATGATGGAGAGAGACAGCGTTCCAGCTGCTATACGCCAGATCTGTCGTAGAAACTCAACACGGTCGTTCTTTGGTTTCGAAGAGGAGCTAAGTAACGCCGATGAGGGCAGATCCACATGATCAAAAGTTGTCAGAGAGTGGTCCAGCGGTTTCGTACCCGGTCTTGTAGGAAGAATACGTGATGTAATCCCGGGCCTCATTCCCCTTGCATCGCTGAGGAACACAATGAAGGGTTTCACGCCATGACTCTCGCCGTCAATCATGAGCCGAGCGAACACTATGGCGACGCGAGGCATTTCGCAGTACGGTGTTGTCGGAGGCATCGCTTTTGAAGCCCCTGCATGAGGAGTATCCAAGTCGTAGGAGCCGTCCGGCAGCAGCGTTGCAGTTGTTTCCAGGTTGCGAGCATCCAAGCCATGACTAACCTCGGTCAACATGAATTCACCACAAACATCAAAGTTCAAGAGTTTATCGAGTAAGTCTTGCAGATCGGGGCGCTTTTTGACGAAAGAGCAGAGAGTTCCGATGCAAAGGTTTATGTGTATCGCTGCGATGATGAATGCGGTCATGTCGCGGGCAGCAATCACTCCATTGGCTTATTCAGCATGGCTCCAGAGCATGCTAAGGACTATCAGACTCACGGTCAAAATGGAAATTCCAGAATTTGGGGGTCAGGTCCTCGATGTCATGTTGTGTCAGACCTGCCGAGTAACTTAGTGATGCTCTCTAATCAAGACTATGCACGCACCGCTGTGACGACACATGGATCTTGCTCTCTCGTAATGTATGGCTATGTCTTGTTTGGAGGCGGGGGCCACAAGGTCATGGTCGCGGCGCCAAATGTCCTGCGTAAGGATTGCTTTGGATTGAAACATGCTAGAAGCCCGCTGTCTTAGATGACTTGATGGTAGCTGTAATGAGTGTATGCAGAGAACAATACACGTCCAATATTGCCAGAGATAGACAATGGTTACTTTAGGTATCTAGTTGCTCTTATAGGAAGCAAAACAGTATTTCTGCGCCGCCTACCGAAGAATCGTGCGCACTCGTCTGACAATTGTGAGAGTCTTGATAAGATGGATCAGTGTGTGAGAATACAGGTCCACTTTCCATCACAGTAGTGAATCATGTGGACTTTTGTCAGGTAGGGATCTCAGTAATGGGATGCTGGGGCCAATGTCGTTGAAGCATATACTCCGTAGCGCTGCTACTCAAGGGATTGGGCTAAAAGAATACAGACCATAAATGCTGGCGAGCCTGTAGACATTGCCAAGGCTAATCTGCCATTCTTGGTAATCCGATTGGTGGATTTATTGAAGCCCGTGGCGCCCAGTCGCCTGTGCGTCAGTAGGCTCAGCTCGTCATTAGAATTTTCACGGCAGTCGCGCTGCCTTCAAGGATCAGTGCAGGCCATAACATAGCGCGGGTTCACAACGATGTGATCTGTGGAGACGACAGCTTCGGTCTGACTGATTCTGTAGTCCCGTTACTCCTCATGGTAATGCTAGGGAATCCGAACTGCATATGGTATCGCATTCTACAGTAATGAGCACCGCCGTTACCTTCCGCTCTGAAACAATGCGCTCTTTGTGAAATCTCGGGTGGGGTTACCTCAGTACATGGGTATACTTCGGAAGCCGAGTTTTATCGGCAATTTGCTGGCTTGTGGGTACACAAGCAATTTTTGGCTGGGCGAACCAAGTACTTTGAAGTACCGCTGCTGCCTGGAATTACTGGGCTAGAATCCTGAGAAGTGGGGACAGACTTACAGTGCAAGTCTTGAAGTACTGTCGCTTATCGATAAAGTAAGTACATCACTATAGCCGCTTTTGGTGTGACGATGGTTGTACACAGTCTATATAGCTACTTATGCTTGATATGTGGGGCTTTGCTTTACAAATAAGAGTTACTGTCAGAGAGGAAAGTAAGGGTGCTCGATACTGTAAACGTTGTATTTCACAATCCGTTTTCTTTTTTCTACTTTTTCTCTTTTTGGCTAAGTACAACGCAGCCTAAAATCCTGCCCTTGATGAGTCTTTTCGTTTGTAAAGGTTATCTTCAGTTGCCTTGTCAGTACGCAAAATCCTGTTTCGGAGCGCCGAGAATACGACCTTAGAAACTCTTTCCCTGGAGTTATTTCCACGAGTCACTTTGAACCGGCTACAAGTATCTCACACAAATGTAATGGATAAATACTCGCTCAGGTCAGCTTGGCACACTTAAGAATCTAGTGGCTTCTACCCAGCCCTCTAATCCCACCTCTCCCCTAAAGAGTGACCGTTTAAAAATAGCAGTCTTACTTACAGCATGTAAAAGATAGAGCCTCAAGTGGTGGCATACCTGGCTGTGTCAACAGTCAGCTTGTATTTCTGCCAGAACTTACAACTAATCTGCGTAAAAGGGACACACAAATACAAGCCTCGACATTTAGCCCGCTCTCAAGGAAGTTGCCGGGTCTGCGGCTCCCTTGTTGGATCATCTGTATTATTTTGCATAAATGCGGACGCACGGTAGCCATCATAGTCAGCTGAAGCGCACCTGGTCCTGAGGTTATCAAGTACAGGCGATCTTGGTAATAAGTCGGCGCATCACTTGATACTCTCCACTCCAAATCGAGGCTAACCACTATGAAATCGTTTTCCCCTTTCTTTCGACCTGGGCTGAGGGCCGCCGCTTATGCTGCCTTCTCCCAACTCTCGCAGTCTGAACGGGCAGTCCGAGAAGAGAGCCAGTTAAGCGTGTGCCGAGACACGTTAGAGGAGACCCTTTTAATTTTACACCCTGAATGTCACTTAGCATTGAAACTACAAGATGCTCTGGATGAGGTTCGGCGCCGATCTCTGGCTATGCTGTCGAAAGAAAATAGCGAGCAGCGTGGCAGTGACTCGGGTCCACACCAAGCACCGCATTCAACCAGAGATTATTGTGCATACAAGTACCTTGACAAAATATCGTGTACTCCAGATCGTTCTTACAGTGCACCGACGTCAAACATTGAGACGACTGTAATTGAGGATAACAATAACGCCATAGCAGCACCCGAAATCAGAGCTGCAAAGCCCGTGAATCGACCCGCGGTTTCGAATAACAACATTCGGAAACCCCCACATGCAGGCAAGAAGCACTTGCTAGAGGCCAGCATGCCCCCAGCAAAGCGACGAAAAGTGGGGCGCAACCATCTCAGATTAGATGCAGATGTATCAGATATTTCAATGTAGAAGGGGAGATGAATGCTACAGGAGGCTAGTCAGTTAACATTACAATATCACCTATCTTAGGGCACTAGATCTATGAAGAGATACTGTACAATGCCTTGCCATTTCTCATAATCATATTCTCGTGGCCAATGTGGTTACCTCGTTAAGAACCATTGGCATCGTACTAGTTGTGACTATCTATTTGACCCAGTTGGGCAGATCAATGTAGAAGAGGTAGCCAAAGTGACGATACCGGCACCACGCCTAGAGTCATCGATATCATGTTTTTAGATGGACATTGATGGGCTTCTGATCAATAAGTGAACAGGGATATGGACCCGATAGATTGCTGCGCTTTGTTGTCAGAAGGTTGTCACATGCCGCAAATAACAAGTGTGTTGGTGAGATGCATACAAGCTTTTTCCTACCTGACCTCCTGGGGTGGGTTCACTGACTGTCGCCGTTGGACTAAGTGTATTTAGGAATCTATCAGTTATTTTCGAGCTCCTTAACATACATAAGTATTACTGCTGTGATTTCGTAAAATTCTCTGTGTCATATTCTCTAGATAGAACGACAAAGCGGAGTTCACAAACAAGTAAGGCACACAGAAGTGGGATGTGTATGTGCAGTATGCTACTAAGAGGGCCAGGCAGGATCTCAGTCACCAAGAATATATTATGGGTATCAGAAGGATCGAAAAGATCACATTGCACTGGAAATGTGAACGACACGTCTTCGGCCAGCGTAGGACTCAAAGTATCTTCCTGGTAGTATATAAATCAAAGCACTGTTTTTCTAATTTTAACGCTCTTGCATTCGTTCAACAGAAAACCAAGAGGCGAGCACACACATATATTTATGCGGTATCATATGTTGCTGTCAAGTCAAAGCTGAAGCAAACAAACAATCTTACTACTATGCGTTGTGTCCCGATTCTTGCCTGCCTACTAGGACTCTCACTTGTCGCTGCCTTGCAAAAACCAGACGCAAGAACACCAGCAGGCTTCCTTAAAATAGGCCCTGGTGGTATTGACGCCATCGGAATTACTCCGAAGAACCTACTTGCTGGGACATCAGGCAATCCCAAAAGTCATATTTTGAACCGTCGTGTTCCTGATTCTCCTCCCTTGATGGTAAAACTGATTAATAACTTGGATAGGGCGACTGCGAAAGCTTACATATCCGGTTTGGATGCTACTGGTAAGGTTTTCTTTCTCTCCCCCAACGGTACGCTTGTCTACCCTAAGTCCAAGGAGCCCCATGTATCAACTGAGATTATGGAAGACATTGCCTTATTTTTAGGCTCTAATAACCAGACTCTCGACGTACAACTTCCTCCATTCATTCGCTCAGGTCGCGTCTACTTTGCAGACAGAGACCTCCGTTTCTTTGTTGTTAACAATGGAGGAGGTGATAGCGTGGTCCAACCTTCAGTTACCAATCTACGAGATCCAAATGCAGATGTGAATTGGGGATTCGTGGAATTAACCTATATGAATGGTTTGTTATATGCTAACATCAGTTATGTTGATTTTGTCGGCATAGTGCTTGGTATGATGCTCACTGAGAAGGATGGCAGTACCCAGACCACTGCGGGTCTCGTAGCCGATGCTGTTACCAGGATATGTGATGACTTGATGAAACTGAGAGAAACTGATCATCATGATTGGGCATCACTCTGTATTGCGAACGGGGAGGGGAAGACTGTGCGTGTCCTTTCCCCGGGAAATCGGCATGAGGTCGAAACTCAACTATTCGACGACTATTGGGATACCTATGTAAACGAGGTCTGGAAGAAGTACGCAACACAAGACCTCGTCGTCGATACCCAGTCAAATGCCGGCCAGGTCAAGTGTAGAGTTTCGGACGATCAGCTCGTCTGCGAAGGGAGCGATCGTGGCTTTGCTAAACCTACTAGTAAAGATATCTGGGGCTGTAACAGCGGCCCGTTTGCTATCTCTGATGGTGATACATCAGCCCATGCGGCCATAGTTCCCCGAATCTGTGCCGCTTTTGTTCGATCAACGCTTCTGCTCGATGGAGGTGATGTTCAGCCGAGCTTGGGTCAGAGATCCTACTATACAGTCAATCCTACTAATCATTACAGCCGAATTGTTCATTCTTATGAGGTAGATGGTAAAGGATACGCTTTTCCTTATGATGACGTTAATCCTGATGGCAATGAAGATGCGTCTGGGGTCGTGAGTTCGAACAACGTCCAATCTTTAGCTATCTACGTCGGCGCGCCACCTTCTCTTAGCTAAACTTACCAAGTGATAAGTCAGATACCTCTGCATTTAGTCGCTACACTGATGTAACTCGTCTAACTATCTTCATACGACAGCTTCGCATAGGCCTTGCACTCCCGGCAAAGATGGAGGAACAAGAACCATACGTAAAGCGGCACCCAGGTGACAATGGCGAATGGACTCAGTCACAATGGCGTTTGCAAGCATTAATGAAGATTATTTGATAGATAGTTAGCTGAAGTTTTGATGTAAGATGGCTACCGGCGGCAAGAAAAAGTATAGATATGGATTTATTGGTGGAGTAGCAGGCAGATACCTAGAGAGATCGATCATTCTTGTTCGCTAATCGGTCAGCGTACGGATCTAGTCTGCATTATGACAGAGGGGGCAACCAGTGAGAGAGACGAGGAAGGTAGTGGGCATCATGACAAAATGATTAAATCATCAAGAATCACTACGTTTCAAGGAAGCGACTTTTCGCCACCATTGTGCTATGTCACCTGTAACATGAATGGTGCCCTCGCAAACGAACAAGAAGTTGCAGTTCACAGTTATTCACTTTTGCAATCGTAGTGGGGGCACGTAAGTGTGCTTTGGCTTCTATTAGTAAGAAGATTGAAACACCCTTTTACTTGGTTCATGAACCCAGGCCAAGCAAGGGTGGATGACCTGATTGAGCAAACTGAATAGGTTCCTGATAATTGGTAGCACCATTTTCCATTTCTCGCGGTGCGGTGAGCGTCCGGAACCCCCTTTCCTATAAATGGCTTTCCAGAAGCAGAAGAACTTAGTTAGTATTTCGCTATACAACGGTATTGTATACATTCCGAGGCTAGGTGGTTTGACCCTTCAATTCCTGCAGGGCGATGAATATGTGAAACGCTGCTCTAGTCCGCGTTGATGCCCTCATGAGATCGTTGTGAGGAGTACCCAAAGGATGACGGCTTTATATTGGATTGACCAACGATCGGCTCGAAAATGCCTAGCTGATTCCGCGTCTGTCGTATTGTCCTCTGTCTGCATGGCTGGGTAGTGATCAATCGGACATTCTATCGAGAATACCCTCTAGTGGCCTACTTCTTCGTTCGTCACAAAAAGGATGGCATTTGAATTGGATTTCCTGTAAGCCAACCAAAATCATGTGTTAAGTAGGGCAAGGGTGAGTACAGCGAAAGACCACAAGGGTCAGTGAAGCATGGTGATGTAAATGCTGACTGCGGTGCGAGCATGCTTTGTGGGGGACTAGCAAAATCGAGACAATCTTTCATCCACATTTGTTCCCACTCTGATATACCCGTGCAGTCTGTGAAAGGCATTAAGTCCATACTGCTGTCGAAACTCCACGGTAACGTATCGAATGATTGTGCGTCAGGCGTGCCAGTTTTAATGCTCTTGCTGGGCTCGATCACCGTAATTGTTGAGCTTGCTTCCGGTGGTGTCAAAGCTGTCGAAATCACTTCTTCCACCGGCAAAATAGGCTCTTGGCTCTCATTTATGGATTTGGCGACTGTTATTGTGTCCTTGGACGGCTGTGGCTCTGCCGGATCGAAAACGAATTCCGTGCCTTTCTCGCTTTCGACGATGGACAGAGATACCCTACAGCCTGTGAGAACGGACAGCTCATACGCCTTCTTGAAAAGGCCTTCTTTCCTCTTCTTAAAGGTCGTCCTCCTGGCGCTTTCCTTTGCTATCTTCTTGATTTCGATTCTTCTACGACCCATCCTGGCTCAATGAAAGCTACCCGACCTTTCAACATTGGTGCGAATGACTCCTAAATAGAAAGTAGCCATGGCACAGACTAAGGGAAATCGGAGGAGGGCTAATGGTGCTATACAATCTGAAGCACACACAGTGAGCGAAACCCGGTGTGGGATGAAACAGAGTTAATCCATTATCCGGCCGAAATGTGACAACTGATGCGTCATCGCTATCCCCAGCGTGATCGTTGCTATGTCTGGGACCTGGATTGTTACAAATGACAACATTGGCGACGCTATGACCAATGATTTTAAGATACCTTGGCGCTTGTCGACTGTGGTAAGTGACTCACCGACATGCATGAGGCGCTATTATTAGCATTCATACCTGGCTTTACAGTATTGCGAGATCATATAGAGGTTAATTCTCTCCACCTCCTCGTACAAACATAAATTATATGATTGTCTCGTTCCAATGTGAAACAATGAACTTGAGTCTATGCAATTAATACTTGTAGAGCATCATCATCTATCACCGGTGCTATTGCTATGGATTCATTACCTTCAAAAGCGTATTGGATGCTGACAAATTATCTGTCTGTCAGTGATCTACATAGCTTGGTGAGCTGCAACAGGTCAATTCATGAAAAGGCCAAACCCCTACTTTATCGTGTACTACGTCTTGATTTCGAGAATGGAAACGTAAAGCCACAGACGCTGTTACTATTACGGACCCTAATGTATAGTCCGGAGCTCATCAAGTTCGTGAGGTCCGTTGAACTTTTGAACAAGGGATCTAGTATCTGGACACAGGGACATTCTCAACTTCTAAGTCTTATACTAGTGAGGATGAACTTACGTCCCGAGCGAGTCACAGCGTTCTCTACCACATCTTCCTGGGTTCCACTTGATACATACTTCGGCGGCCTAAATTCCATAACCTATGCAGGCGCCGTATCGGCCACTCAGCTTGAATGGCTTCATTGGCATCTGTCAAATTGCAAACAGATATCCCATCTCCATATACGACTTTCCAAGCGCCGATCGAATTGCCACTTACCCCTGTTAAGGACTACGGGCCTCGGTTGTTTGAGTGAACTCTGTCTTAAAAACTGTGCATTAGAGCATTTTATCCCAGAAGAATCCTGGAGGCTAAAGTGGCTTGATCTTAGAGGCTGCTCAGGTACAGAGATGTTCATGAATAGGCTATTATCAAGTCAACAGCTGCAGGTCTTGAAGGTGCTTCGCCTTTCCGGACGATTGTCGCGAAGAACGTTTCTTTCTTTGCTTGTTTCATTGGAAGAGAATCGTCACTTAGAAGAGTTATCTCTTCGCCTAGAAAGCCTACCCCAGCTAGTAAGACAAGAAGGCTACGGCAAGTCGCTAGCTCCTTCGAAACTAGCAGACTTTTGCCAAACATTGCAGTCCAGAATTCTAGGCCACCTCGAAAGCCACGGGCCCAGGCTGCGATCTGCTACAATAGATATTCGACAGGATATAGATTTCCCTATGCCTTCTATGCTATTCAGCGTTCAAGATATCACGAGGATAGTCAAATCTTGTCCCTTCGTGAAATTTTTAGGCTTGCCCATCGACTTTCATGATTTATTCTCGAACCAAGCCAGACCTATGAACTCCCCAGTCGAACTCCAAGCACTGCATGTGAGGGGAGAGTACGGCGCTTTCACTGAGATGGCAAAGAATGCGACCATACTGGTCAAACTGTTCAAAGCACCTCCGAGTTTCCAGATATTTGTAGGCTATGGCAAAACTCTTAAAGCCGTCCATGCACCCTCCTCAGGGTATCCGTTCTACTCAAGGGTTACGAAAAGTCAAATATCAAATTATTGCTTGGATTTGTGAGCAAACAGGTTTCTGTAGGCTCCACCATTACTAGCGACAAGGTCTTGAAACGAAACAACGTTATAGCAGTTATTCCCAGAAGCATGTGAAGATACAGGCTGTCATATCGTGCTTAAAGGGACATGTAAAATACCAGGCAACAGCTAACGACATTTACGTACTCGCCGCCCCGTTCAGTCCCTCCACTCGTCCCGCGGCTTTTAAGCATCAGTATCTAAAAAATAACACGCTAGTAATTATCAATAAAACCGCTTTCATAAACAATTGACACGTTTACCAATTTCACTGTAGGGTGAGTAAAAAATTATACACTCGTAGGTCAAAGCCACGCATATTCATTAGGACACGTAATCTAGAAAGAACCCATATGGAGTTCAGCCGTAAGGATAATTCAAGAGGCCCACTTAACGCGTCACGCTACGCGTCTTTATGGTATCAACATTACTTATATCAGAGATGACCATCTCATGCTCAAGCGAATCGGGATACCTAGCGCAAGAATGACGTCACAGTAGAAGCTGGGTACGTTATGAACGAAATGGTAAAAACAAAATACAAGAGAAAATTGAGACGACTTAATGATTCGTAAGGCAAAGAACGAGCGAATATGACTGTAAAATTATGCCTATACTTTTCGGAAGAACGTAAGAGGCGGCTCCAAAGCTAAGAGCAAGCATCTAAGGCATCCAGTTCGATTCGTTTGTGGCTGTTGATGTGGTGTTCGGGGTCAAGATGATGGGCATTACTCGACTAAGATTAGTTAAAACTGAGAAGTTGCAGTAATGAGCACATCGAGAATTGGCTGTACTCTCGTCCTGGCGACTAACATCCCAGTCAAAGAATGCTTGACGGTGACAACATTCTATCGCTAATCCCTGCCCCGGAAATGTAGGGAAAGGCTAACTGAGCTTGGTAACGACCTGGAAGATAATGGAATTGCTGCAAAGAGGTCCGAGGAGCAGCGTAGCATAAATTGGCTGCTTGTTCGTATTTATTCGTCTAACAGCATTTGCATTCTACGACCACCTTCCCCAACGCGACTGACTTTGAAAAACTTTCTATTTTGGGTACACTGGATTGGCGTGCAAAAGGAAAGTGAAATGAAGTAGTCGCACGGGTAGGGCCCTCACTCTGTGCCGATAGAGACCAAATGATGCAACCCGGTCCCGAATTCCCCTGGTGCAACGACATGGGCGCTTACAACCATCCTATTTCTTACGGCCATGCTTTTGCCGCGTCTTTTGGAAGGGCGCTAAGGTACCAAGTACAACTCCCTATTTGTGAAGCCCCTGAGTCCATCTAGCTGCCACCTAGCTGCTGAACATGGTCAAGATAACAGAGATTCAGCTTTCTGTGGAAGGACGATAAAAATTGGTTGTCTGACCTTGCATCAGTTACCATTGACTATAAGCGGCTAGCATACAGCATCCACTACGATGAGCGTGGTCTTGTTCTTCATCCGATAAAGATAGCTACCAGCTATCTTTAGTTTAAAGATAAAGCTAGATTGTGTCCCCATTTTCGCGCATGACGATTCTTCTGATAGGCTTTATTAAATATTAGATCCTAACTATAAATATAAGGCAGTCTCATTGCAGCTTTATATAATGAGTTCAATAGGTAATTAATTGAATTTGCTGTAGTCACTGTACCTAACGGTGCTATAACACACAATGCCAATTGACTTTTATCGCCGTAGACTTTTACCTTGCTCAGATCGAGTGTTCTTTATGGGAGAGGGTTTTCCTTCGAAGCATAAGTATGAAGGAGACTGGATCGAAGTGGAAGAATTAATCACGACGCTTGGTGGCGCATTTAGTGCTGAGAGGACGAATAACGTAACGGACATACTTTTGGTCGAACGTGAGGTAACTGCTACAACAAGACTTAGAGGAATTGTTGAAAGGGACCGACAATGGGCCAAAGATCGTGGACTTGAACTTCGCAATCCTAAATGGCTCGAGGAAATATATTGCCAGTATTGTTTCTTTTTTAAAGATGAACCACCGCTGGAGCCGAATGTTAGAAGCATAGTTTTGGAGGTAACAATAACCCCCTGGTTCTTCAAATTAGAGACCATATGAAAAATCATTAACTAATTGGAGCAGGAGCGCCGTTACACTGATGAAGACGGATATCTCATTGTAGCCCCGAGGGACACACTCGCATGCAGGTGTAAGCAATGCCACAACTAGTATTCTGTACCAGACCATTTTCTGACGGAATAGCAGTTCAAGTTATTGACAGGGCCATGGAGATACGACGTAGCTCTAGTGTTGTCTATGTCAAAGACAACAAAACCAAAGATATTGTGCCTATGGTGATAAGTCGTCAAGGACAACCGTATACTGATGAAATATTGGATTACATTCGTGTTCTCCAAACTATTGAGGTCAATGACAAAAAGAATCTTTACCGATGCCAATGGCTACGAGATTGCTTCTGTTATAATGGACACATTTGCGTTGTAGAAGAAAAACGGTTCGAAAGTCTGTCAACGGTACTGCAGGGCAGACCCCGCCTTAATCATAGGGAAATCCGGAATCTCGTCCGGCAGCTTTTTGAAAGTGTTGCCTGTGGGTAAAGAAACTTACCCTCTATTGCTAAAATACTGACAAAGCTTAGTCCTGCACAAGATTGGCATAGTACATACTACTCTGAGTCCGAGAAATATCTTGCTTCGTGCCGAGTCTCTTAGCAGCGAGATCAAGATCGCTTCGGCTTCAACCGGCAAAAATCATCAGGGGAGGAAACCTAGTTCCCAACTGAGTACCCAGATCCAGATAGTCGGCTTTCATTGTGCGATTTTTAAGAAAGTTGGTTATTACGAAGCACTTACTCCATACTGTTACACTGCCCCGGAAGTCTTCCAGGGTGAAGAATGGTCGTATGTTTGTGATATTTGGAGCATAGGATGCATGATATTTGTTCTGTTAACTGGCACTAATTTCATTCGGGAAACAGAAGAATGTGAAGTTCTGGACTCAATCTATCACCAAGCTCCGGATTCATTGGGTGAAAAATATTCACCAGCTGCCACAGACAGTTTTCAAAGTATTGAATGCTACAAGGTAAGTAATCACGATTTTTTTAATAGTTCATTGAAATTAACAAAATAGCATACCCTGAAGAGTATTGATTGCCCTACTGAGTGCAGCGACCTACTGGAACGAATTTTCACAGCTAGTGAAAAACGTATCACTGCAAACGAAGCGCTAAAGCATCCTTGGCTACGGTAAAGTGGAAATTCTCGGCAATAACAAGAGTTCCGTAGCGCGGTGCTTGTATATGAGACAGCAAGAGCTGAACAAGATAACTTGCTGTACGAGAATGTAAGATCTATCCAAGTTTAACAAAAACTTCTTCATAAGAGATATATTCAAAAGCTAGAGAGAATCATCTGGGACATCAAAGAGATATTCCGATGTCTTGTTTCTCATAATATTGTGAAAGAAGATATATATAAGGGGTAACTGAGTTTGCTGTTGATATGGACAGGCCGTATGTTGATTCGTAGTAGAAACAGTCTATAGGTTTACTGTGCATTACGCAAATGAATATTATGTTGTATTACTTACAACTAGATTTTAGAGTAGGTGATACTAGGGAGCATGTAGATTTAGAGGATAAAGGTATTTTGTTCTGCAAGAAAGGGAGTAAGCTGGGGAAACATGGAGATTCCCACCATTGCTCTGCTGAATATAGCCAGAGCTGGAAATTCTAGAGACAGCTGAGTTTGTTTCGTAGTATTGTATTGCACAACATACAGCTACCTCTTTGACATGTCTAGCGCTTATCACTATACCAGACAACGACTACGAGTATAAAGAAAAACCCCTTCCGTTATCAATAGACGAGAAGAGCTATGTCTTACTTTATCCTATCTATGAACCTAACCGAGAGCGCAACGGAAAACATACAAAGACAGGGATTCATTCAGATTATGTACTTGACTTGTACACAATTCTTTCCTTGCTCATCTCTGTGTATCTTCAGTTAGTGCTGATGCAAGAACTTTTCACAACATGATTCCATGCTTACGTGCTTCACATGACATCCTCTCAGTTTCCGACCTATACCACTAATCCTTTGCGTATAATAGACTCTTTCAGTAACTGTATATGACAATAATCAACTAACAGGAAGAGAAAGACCTCAGCGTCAAACTAATTTGGGGTAAGACCTAAGAAATGTTTATTTCAAGACATACAAAATAGGTCTAGGGCTTATTGTCAAATTCTCAATGTGGGCTCCAGCCATAGCTACTTTGTCTTTTCTTTTTCCCCAGCTCTACTCTTCTATAGTTTGTCCGATATTTTGATGCCTGTGCATCCGCTGGCTGCCGATTATTCTGCAAAACTCAACCAATGCAAGTAACTAGCAGACAGTACGGCAGTAGAAGTTCAGCCGTATCGAAGCAGGTTTCTGGCTGAGCCGAGCTTTAGCTATCATGACGCCTAGTATGACAGGGCACCCATAACTTCCTAGCTTTGTAGCAGTGATTCACAGGCGAGGCTTCGGTGATTTATTAGACACCCTTGGCTGCCAAAACATCTCTAGCGCCTTTAGAAGCTTTTCACTGCTGAGAATCGAATTGCTTTGGAGTGCAGTCGCTTTTAAATCGTGATCTTCATTTGAACTGCGATGCCTGCAGATGTAATCTGGTAATTGAAACTTGCATAAGTTTCGCGAAGCTGGAAAAGTCCTCATTGGTTTCTTGGGTGTGGCCATTTATAATGGTGGGATGTTGTAGGGCCAGACAATTGAATATTTGCCATCGGACGTCCCTTTTATGTTTTTACGCGGGCAACTTTCTTCAAAAAGCTTTAGGTAAGTATATATCTTATATTTGACATGTTACTCCTTATTTAGGCTTAGGTTAAGTCCTTTCTATGAATTAGCCCTTGGTCTTTATTATAGAAAACTATATAAATCCTCAATGCCTTTTGAAGTTTATTATTTTTATTTTGAATTGGGATATAATAGATAAAAGCTTGAAGGATTTCTTTTCTATGGCAGTTACTTTTATTAGCCATATAAAAAAACTAACCAAACTAACTGGAGAGATCTAATCCACTGCCTTTTAACTATAAACTTAAATCGTTAAGTAAGAATTTATCAGTCACCAGGCTGTCATTACTGCTATTGAATTGGTTGAGGGACTTTTATCAATAAAGATAGAAGGGCGATCGCTTTGTTATACATATGGCAGAGTGGTTTAGCGTCACAGGCTTTATATGTCTTGGCTAAAGAAGAAAATAGATCTTTATAATTGACTTCTCTTTTACAGCTCTTATCAGTAAAGCATATAGCAGCACATCTTATTGCTACATCATGTATGTTACATCTAAACAAACTAAAGTCTTTTTAGTCACATAATTATGCAACTTCTAATTCTTGCTCTTTCATTTTGGTTTAACTATTTCTCTCAATAGAGAATAGAAACTAACAGTAAAATAAGATAAAGAAAAAAAAAAAAAGCCTTCACTGGTAGTAGACAAGTTGATTCAGTCTAAGGTGCTTGCTATATAAATATAATTAGCTCCTTGCGATATCCTAAGTTGCAAGTTTGGTCTCAAAGCAGTGACCTTAAACTTTCTCCAACAACTGATAGAAGTTAGAAAAGAACGACAACAGGTGTGCATAAACAAAATGTCTGCAACAAACTTACAATACTGTTTTGCGTGTGACGGATTCTTCTCAAGATATTGACTAATGGCCGATCTCATACATGTCTTTGTATCGTGATCTATGGTCAGCTTTCCTGTCAATAACGGTGGTAAATCAGGGTCGTAGACTGGATTCCGGTCGCCCATGAGAATTACAATAACAACAGTATATCCTGCTTTCCAGGAGCTCAGCTCATTTCTAAGATGGTCGAAAAAGGGAGATAGAATGTATGATCTCGTGGTAAACCAAAATAACCGACTTTTGAAATATAAGCTATCCTTGGACTCCAGAAGTCGTTGTCGCCATTTGAAGCAAGAGTAGCCCTCAAAGATGCCACTATCTGCTGAGATGATATCGAGGTCCTTTGCCAGATACGTGTAGGGAGATAATGGTGCACGGAATAGTCCATCGCATGTGACTCTTACTTTGTCTCTGATGGTCCTACTCCCAGGTCCGTCTTCAATGGCAGAAAGCGGCAGGAGTATTGTAGCTTCGTGCTGCGAGTTATCTTGTCCTGTGGCCCAAGCAACTCTGTAGAACGTCCCGCGACTTTTGATGTAAAAGTCATGCTTACTATCAGGCACTCGAACTTTCAACTCTACGTATTGCTTCCCATTACGTTTGAGGGCGGCGTTTTCAATACTACTCGGACGCCAGAGACCATGGATTCCAGTCGCCCCAATGACTATAATGCTCAGGCCAAGCAATAAAGACGCAGTAGACTGTAAGAGATGAACCATGCCACCTAGGATGCCTATGATCCCAACAACGCCGTGGAATGTTCTCCGAACCCTTGTTTGCACGCGAATGCCAAGGTATAGGCTGACACATAATGCCACACTCATCTGCGAAGAAAAGGTCAATGCCTTAGATTCATTTCATCGGGCCCATACGACTTGCCATGAACCCCATTAGCCAGCCTATAAGTGTATTCCAAGACGCTGGGCGATTTGTATCAGCATTAACCCGTTTTGGAGAGCATAGGGCCATTTACTGAGACCTGAGGTGAGGAAAAGTGAAAGACCGACGTGGATTACAGTTTCAAGCAGGACGATCCATGCAAATAAGCTGTGTGCCCAAAGCACCTGCTGTCTACTGTGACGTAATACTTTGACCAGGATAATTTCGTGAGACCCAAACAAAAATAGAGGAAACAGGTTTGTGAGTGCCATTTTCCCGGAGCAGAGAATGACTCCACGGATTGGTTCATCAGCTCTGGAGGCGTGCCCGAGCGCAATAAGATTTTGAATTGTGATAAGAAGTGTTATGAGCGCTCTCGTGATGCGTGGGGGAGCGAAACCACTTTGATCAGAATCGTCAGCTTCCATCAAAGCCGTGTATGACTTCTTGACGCTGTATTCGATCATTTGAAAGAGGCCATTCGCCTTTTTCTGCTTCGCTCTTTGTATATTAATCCTGTCGACGAGTGCCAGACGCAACCTCGGCACCCGAGAGCAGAAAATCCAAACACAAAAGCTCACCAGATAGAAAAAAGATAATAAGAACTCCATGCAGAGAATTGTTCTGCTTGCGTCAGGGACTAATGTATATAAGAATGTCTATCAATCCCAGACGTTTTAGTGTAGGGCTCTTTTGGTATAACACAAGTCGAATAACGCTAAAGATAGGGTAATGTGGATGTTTAGAGGTTGCTGTATTTTGTACTTCTCTCAACTAAAGGCTCTATTTTTAGAGTGCCGTAGGCTTTCGGTTTCAGTTCTGGTACCGGTGAACTTGTGGCCTTTGTTTGGAAGTAGAGATGAATTTCCAAGCGATAGGCACTCTGGAACTTGGGGGCCATGGCCCTGTGAATTAATAAGTTCTTCCCATTCCGTATGTGCATAGATACTTGCAACACTGACGATAGTTTGTCTTTAAAGTCGAGGTTGGTATCTATGAAGTGTTGGGAGCCTAGAATTCCCAATCTATCTCATCTTTTCAATGTTCAGCGTCCAGGTAATCACAGAGATCATGCATGTTCTTGCTATCGCCGCCGGTTTTGCGGCCATTGTCCAGGCTCCCGCTGTCCGTGCCCAGTACACTCTGAGTGATAGATACGATTCATCCAACTTCTTCAACACTTTTGACTTCTTCAACGAGGAGGATCCCACTCACGGATTCGTCGAGTACGTTGACGCAGCCACTGCAAAGTCCCAAGGTCTCGTGGCGTATGTTGATAATGCCATATACATGGGGGTCGATTACAAAACTCAAAATCCTCAGAACGGTCGTAAATCTGTCCGCGTCCACTCTCAACAATCTTTCACTCACGGGCTGTTCATAGCCGATATTACTCATATGCCGGGAAGTATTCCGGGGGTATGGCCGGCGTTCTGGATGTTTGGGCCTAACTGGCCTACATCGGGAGAGATCGATATCGTGGAGGGCGTAAACACCCAAAGCCATAATGGTATATATCTGCATACAGGGCCAGGCTGTGTTTTCGCCAACCAGGGTGGCGACGAGAGTCATAACCAACAAGTTCAGGACTGTAGCGCACCAGGAGGTTGTGGTCAGATTATGACAGACAGCCAGAGCTATGGCGACGGCTTCAATGGTATTATCGGCGGCGTTTACGCGACTGAATGGACGGCTGAGTATATCGCTGTGTGGTTCTTCCGCCGTGATCGTATTCCCGGCGATATCCGATCCGGAGTTCCTGATCCTCTGTCTTGGGGTCCGGCTACGGCTAGGTTTAACGGCAGTGACAGCTGCCGCCTTGACGATCACTTCAAAGACCACCGTATCATCTTTGACATTACTTTCTGCGGCGATTGGGCTGGTTCTCCTGAAGTATGGTATTCAAATCCTCAGACAGCCGCTCTTGGCGACTGCAAAACTTACATCGCTTCCAATCCATCACACCTGCGGGAAGCGTACTGGCTCATTAACAGCGTCGATGTGTACCAACAAGGTGACCAATAATCTGTGTCTAGTATCTTCCCTTATTCCATCCTTTACTTACTTTTTTCTCTCTAGCCAAAGCTGCGAATGCTGCCAATATTGGCTATATTTAGGGTTTTTATATGTCGCGCCAAGCTCATCAAGGCACTGACATAGTACATGTGAAATTGACCAAAGCCACAGTTGAGAAATTGACTAGAGAGCAGGTTACATTTAATAGCCAAGTTAGCAATAGATTTCAGAACACAAACATAAGATGTACAATGTAACCTGCCGAGACTGTGAAATGGTCTGAGGTTTGTATTTTTTGCGCTTATCCATCATGAATTAGCGTGACTAACGAAGGCTAACTAGATAGAAACTAAAGTGTAAATTCCTCGCTTTTCAGCGTTCTCGCCTGTGACCAAGTCCTTCTCCAGGTGCTATGGAATACAGTACATAGGTAATATGATGTGTGGTTAGAAAAACCATGAACGTACGAGGCTTCACTCCTTTTTATTTTTATTTTTTATTTTTTTATTTTTGGTTTCCTCCAAGGCTTGAAAGTATCTGACGTGTAACAGATGGCTGGCCGAAAAATAGCAAGACAGGTTTCAATGCCATATGGCTGACAATAAGTCTTTCTAACCCGGCCCGATGGCCATCAGGCAACATCTGATAGCGAGCAGTCATGCGGATGTACCCCCAGGGATGAGGGCCTGAATTTTTGGACTGGATTTCGAGATAAACTTGATCACCCTGCTCGAAACACACGTGGGACGTGCTGACAATGGTAGCATCAATGCACCAGTTGGGGCACAGCAATGTAGTGATCTATTTGTGCTTATGTAGTCACATGTAAGACTTCCTAGGCGATAAATATAGCGAGGGCTGTTAAGCCTTGTTGCTCCAGTTCGACAGAACGAGAATTTGTTCCAGGCTTGTGACAGCACAGGAAAGCTGTTCTTGAAATCAATCCACGTCCACAGTATGCTGCGTTCACTTATCATAAAAGCCTTAGATTTCTCCATAGTATGCTTGTTCTAGAGCTAGAGCTAGCGACATGTGCTCAGATATTACTCGAACAATATGAAGTGGCCCTGGCGCAATTATCTAATCTTACTAGCTGCTGTAGCATCGGGCTGCAGCGTCGGTTTACTATTGCATGTTTTACTCAGTCAAAAAATAAGAACTCGCGGCATAGAAACGCTTCAAATTAATGCACCCACTATAGTGTCTCGCTTCGACCTGAGTGATGTTACAAACCGAGTACCGGAAGCTGCGTCCAAGATTGTAGAAGGAGGAAGCCGAATAGTGGAAGAGGTATCTTCTCAAGCTACTGCTATCTCAGAAGCTCTGGAGATCATACCAACACAAGTCACTCTTGGTATGGACCAAGTATGCTGGCATGCCTCCAAGGTCACATGCACACCCATATGGAAAGGCCCAGATGAATGGTTTCCCATTCCATTAGCACAGTTTTTCAAGCTCGACAATCATCCGGTGTATCTTGTACTCACAAAATGCAACATCAGAACAGCCACTGCTGTATCCTTAAGTTTCTACCTTGCCGTCATATCGGTCTTCATAAGTGGGCTAGTCGCGAGGTTGTGGCTGAGGCGTAGGAACAGCAGCGCAGGTCTAGAGAAGGAGAAAAAGCTGGAGAACCATTTGTTTCGCCACATGGGAATGATTGTTAGTGCAGTCGGATTTTGCATCGTCGTTCCGCTTATACTGAATATTCTGGTCCTGTATATCATCGATATGGTACTCGGAAAATTTACTTTCGGGGGGTTGACGAGAGTACCTGGAAACCTCTCCATGTTGTTTGTTATCTCGTTGTTTCTGGTTGTCACATCGTTAGTTTGTTTGGTTCTCTTCCATCGTGCGGCGACAAAGATTCCCCTGCCTCCGCCTCGCCCTTAAGGTTCGGTAGCTAGAATTGACTTTGACTTTGCTGCGAGGGATAGGGGAGCCCCAGGCGATATGACAGGCAAAGAATCAAGTAATCCTCATCAATAACCGCCTCCTCGACCGTCCCTTAGCAACTATGTCACTGCTACTTATTCTCGACTGTATCACCTCCTTTGCAGTGGATCTTATACTTGACACTGTTTTGAGTAATGGGGTAAATTTTAGGATAGAGCACAGCGAGTGAAATAAGGTTGCGCACGTCTAACTTGGTATGCCAATCTCAGTGCATTCTTTCTTCTCTACGTAAGCTCTATGATGGTCCAGCCTGGCTCTAGCACTGTGCAACAGACGTCTAGCAGATCTTCAATGGTACTCATTGCTAATGGCCGCCCTGCACAGAGTCTAGATCCCAAAAGCGCGTCGTGAAGGGCTTTCTTACCTACCTTTTGGATCGAACTTGGTCCATTGGCGCCAATAACTGCACCATATATAATCTGGTTTTGCCTAGCCGAGTAGCTTGAGTCACAGAGTTCACGCTGCTGATGTGCTTCTTTCCCTCCCACTGCCTCAAGTAAGATTCGATTCAGCGCAATGCAGTGTGAGGCTAGACTGATATCGTCTTGGTCCAATGACGCGAGTTTCTGGTACTCCATCTGATCGACTTCGCATATGTTGGCTACAATTTCTGTGTCGCTCAGACCTAGAAGAGTTTTTGCAACAGAGTCATCGTATCGCTCAAGTAGAGTCAAGCTTAGGAGCTGGAGGCACAGGCAAAAGTGTCTGCGGACGTCTGTCGTCGATTCCTGTGATGCGTTAGTCGATATTGATCTGTACGAGCAAATAACTATCCACCGAACCATAAGGATTCTGCCTAGTTTCATCCACTCAGATAGCAAGTGCACAGCCTGGTAATTGATGGTCGCGTGTGCGGATGCAGCGACTTGCATGCGAGCAGCCGAACCGCTGGGTTTCATAATGTGGCTATGGCCTCGTAAAGTTCCCAACTAGAAGAACCAATTGTTCAATTGAGATTATAGAGCCTAAGCCGTGTCAGTCCCTACCAAAGAGTGAGTAAACAAGTCGAAATCTGCGGAAGGACTGTAGACTGCGTGTAACCGGATTCAAAATTACGAAGAAAGAGGTTGCGAAATCAGAAACTGGAATCAGATCTGAGCGCCCCTTCCACGTCCGGCCTGCATCTCATGTAATCCATCACGTCACACTAAGTTCTCTCAGGCACGAGTCTCAACTACAAATAACACATCTATTATACCGAAATCCCCCACCAATTGCTAGAGCGTAAAGCTGCTAATGGAAAACCTAGAATATGACTCATTTGACGGCCATTGCGTCACACAAATCCCGTAGCCATGCTATCTGACCATCAATCGTCTATGTTTAGTAGCAACTTGTTGATAACTGAATTTTGGAATTTAGTTACCACGTAGGTCAATACGCCATGCTCTCAAACAAATAACCATGAGCGGTACGTTTTGTTCTCGTCACCAAAAGATATCAAATATTCTTCTAGATTAGAGAACCTATGATACGATATTAATAATTCGACCTTTGATGTTTACCCTAGACTCAATTGATACTGTTGAGGTTCAACCAGTCAGAGACTTTGTCAGTGTCATCGATTATGAAAAAGTTTGAGCGGGCGAGAGGATAGCTGAGTGGGTTTGTTAATAATAAATTCGTATGTATGGAAGTGCCTTCGCCTTGCTTATTTGATCTGGTACTGTATTTTTGCGCGTCTACTCTTGTCTGCTTCCCTTTGACTGACGCAAGCCTTGGCTACATTAATTTCCTTCTAGACCCCACTGGCAAGAGCTCTTATGGCTCAAATCTTAGTGGCGTCACGATTGGTACAAAAGCAAGACTGTAATCCTGGACCATGATGGTGTTTTTCCAATGACTTGATTCAATAAGAGAGGAAATAGACTAGAGCATTAGAAGATGATCTATTATCACAAAGCTCTTATTTCGAAGTACTAAAGTAGGCTTTAGCTGAAAGGGAAGGTGCTAATATGGGGTCAGCGGCCTGTTTTGCAGACTCCAATCAAGTGATGGTCAGGAGCAACTCGATGACTAACCCAGGATCGATCGTTTTAGCCGCCCAACTGCGCAACTTACTTATCATAGTATGGCTCATAGAACTATTAAACCCCCCGTGGCGACACAAGAGGTGTTGGATTGAAGCAGAGTATGTATGCCTACTCCGTATTCGTCAAAGTATCTCGGATAATTTTGGCTTTCATTGTGCTATCATCGCCTTGTCTAGCTTCTTCTCCACCAAGCTCCTTACCAGGAGTGGGGCCAAGTGAAACAAGCGCCAGTCACAGTCTGGATCGCCGGCTCTCTACTGGCATAGGCAATTGGACGACGCCACGCGCTCCAGCGAGCATAAATTCCGCAACCACGGCAAATCAGGTTCCAGGAACGGGAGAAACAACTCATTCGTTCTCTATATCGAGCAAAATATTTTCAGACTCTACATTCACCTACGCAGATGAGCTATGGATCAGTAAAGTACGCCATGCTATAACAGTTGCAACATTAGTACCAACTGTCCAGACGTCCGACGGAGGGGTGACTGCGGGAGTAGAGGTTCGAGAATCTAGTAGTATGGGAACGCGGGGTGTGAGCACTCTTACAACTGATAAGATGAGGGTAAATTCTATAATGGAACAACTTTTTACACGAAAAGAGAATCCAGAGGCTTTGCCAACAACCAAACCCACTGAATCCAGAGTGATTATTTCTTCCACAGTCATCAGTACTCAGAAACAAACAGTTACGAGACCTTTATCCGGTCAGACGTCTCCGACAGGCTTGTTATGCGGAAACCCGACTGACTTGCCAGGCCGCAGTGATGCTGATCCTCAATTTGTAAAAACCTCTTCATTTGACTGGTGCTTCTTGCCGGCCGTTCAAGGCCTCATGCAGGCCGGTGATGAGTGTGTTATAGATGTAAAACGTAGCTCGGACGATGTCCTCTATGAGTACTCTATTTGCTGGGCAGAGGGTTGTGTAGGCGAGCCACAAGCCAAGCGAAAACCGCTTGGGGAAGATGGGCCGAGATGTGAGGATATCCTCTACGAAGACTGCTGGCAGGCATGCCGTAATAATGAGGGGATGGGGGGGCAAGTTCAAGCTGGTTGCCTTATTTACAAGGTACGGACAGGAGTTGGAAAAAGCCAGGGGTACTGATAAGACGGAGGTCGGCTTTCATCAAACAAACGAGATTGATTGCTGGGAATATTGTCAGACATTGCGTGTATTCGGTTCATTGATGTAAAATTGGTGTATTCTGTTATGTTCTGTCAAGAATCTATTCCCTGAGCGCGTCGCCATTTTGGCGCGTAATGTGAAGCATCCCTGCGTGCACGTGATACCCTAGCACCTATTCAACAAATATTGATTGTATAATGACACGTCCGGAGACATGTTGTGGTCCAGTCGAGTGTTCAAGAACCTGTGACTCAGAGACGTGGAGGCGTAGAATGTAACGGCATGACACTACTGGAAAAGATCTTCTCACATGTGTTTTTCAACTTTGTATCCATAGACGTTTAGAAATGAAGTCGGGCACCCCGATCATCGGTCAATGGCTCAATAGTCACAAGAAAGACTAGACGAAGTCACTATTGTTCTATATAGAATTATAGAAAGCTCAGTAAAGCTTTTGCCTTGTCCGAATTCTTCGTGGAGAACGTGGACTTCGTGGGCAAAGGTACAAGGCTTTGCGAACTGTACACTAGCATATTACATAGCTCTACACAATTACCTCTAACCATACTTTTCTGTATTGGACCAAGTATTAGAGGGCTGACTGCAACGAGCCAGGGTGTTCTGTAACCCAAAACGATGAATACGCTCAAAGCGACATCAACTAAATAGACAGACAACCGACCCTATCAATAGATATTGTATCTACTCCATCAAGAGTATCGAAATAGAGTCATGGTTAAGGTATGGAATATAAAGGACAGTAACGAACCATGCTCTGAAGGCGTTGTCATTTGGTGTCGCAAAATAATTGCTTTGTCTATTGATGGCACATTCAGAGCTGCCTTTTATAGCTAACGCACGTTCTGAGATGCTCCATGCCACGATAAATACGCTCCTTATCCGGTCTTAGCCCAACGACATCTCTGAAGTCCTCAACAATTATCGAAAATATTTGGCTATTGCCCTCCACGAAAGAAGATCACGTGTAGACATGCCCGAGCCAAGATCTCTTTGTTTACTGTGTCAAAGGCCTCGATCCAGCAAGCGTTGCCTACGTGATAGCGATTTCCTAGACAGACTGATTTGTTCCAGGTCCAGGACAAGGTGTGCGGGAATTAAGCTTTTACTCCATGACGAGCTAAGTAAGCCGGTCATCGATGATCACGGCAGTGCTATGCATTACCGAAGCAAGCGCTACGAGACGCCGGAATTGCCGACGGACATGTTGGCTAATCATACGAAGGGCAACATAGCCGAACTTGCGGGGGATTCTGTAGCTTGCGACTTCGCCTCTTGGATGGACTCAACGAATGATCGAGCTCCCATCGTGAATTTGGATTCAAAACCACGCAGAAAAAATCATGAGCACGCCTTAGCCTAAGCGTCTTCCAAGTGGTAATCAATTTATGTCCTAAAGAAAGTAACACAAAAATACGAAACCTTTTTATCTATCATTTAATGAAACCCGTGTATGTGAAAAGTACACCCTAGAGCTAAATTAGCTGAGTGGTCATCCAGAGTATGGGTCATAAGCTACAGGATGAAGGAAGGTGAAATTCAGTCCCGCTTTTCTGCGTCTTTCATTCATGTGACCAGGAAGATTGAAATCTCTATTGCTGGCCCGAGAATAGCGGTCCCCACATCCCCTTTTGTGGACGGTATAGCGTGAGTGGAGACTTGATGAGTTCACAAAACGTTCACCAACATCCACAAAGATATGAAGGACCTTCTCGAGGTAAGGCGCGTAATTTGCGTTAGCCATTGGTTACATTAACTTTAAATAGAAATTTTATTAGCAGGGATATTTTGTTGGAAGGCGCTTAGCACGGAATCCAGTACCCGTGAAATTCACGATGCAATCCTAGGCAGAGACTGTGGTTCACAGTATGCCTGACGTTCACTTACTTGATCAATTCAAAAGGACATAAGGAACGGAAACCATCAGGAGGAGGCTCCATGCAAAGTAGATAACGAAGTGGCAATGGCTCCACTATCCTATATGTTAGACAAGACGTGCTTTCTGATCAGCTATCTACCGTATCCCTAATTGCCCGCAGCTCTTACTACGGCATTATGATTCAGAAAGCAAGAGCAATACTTTTAAGAAAAACTCGCGATGACCGCCGACCGAGTTCGTGTCCAGAAATTCGGGTTGCAGCTGTTGTGAGCCCATTGAGTCATGAACATATGGAGGCCAGGGAAGAGTTATGCTGCATTCGACCTAACTATCTTCAACCCGATCATGCATCAATTTTAGAAAGCTATCCTAGACATAATAGCATGATACCTCCCCCGCTGTCCATTTCAAAGCTACAACCTGGGAAACAGGTCACAGATCTGGCGAATGGCCGACCTATTGCGGGCCGTCAAAGAAAAAGACTAATCAGCATCACACACGACATGCGTGACAATCGTTCACTCTGGACTCCAGATGAATCGCATGTAGCCCTATCGCTACAACCTCCAGATGAGAAAAACGTTGAGAGGATAGGAGACGCCGAGGACTTCGCCGAGAAGATTGCACAATTCTATACCTTCGATGTTGTGTCCGTCGCTAGCATAGACTCCAACCTACTAGAGAAGGCTCGACCAAACACTTTTGCAACCGTACTTGTGGCTTATACTGCCCCAGAAGTGAGTTTGCCGCGGCTGGTACCAACAGCGCTGTACCGAATACCTGTTGAGGAGGATGGGTGGATTCGCGATCCCGAAGCATTGCCATCCGAGTTCCAAAGTGGATATAGGCGCAGCTTCGATGGAAAATCGGTAAAATATGTATTCATGTGTTTCGCCAGGCACAGAGTTCAATATAGTGATCGGGAGTCTATCACGCTATTCGAGGATGCTGAGTGGCTAGCACAAACAGTCACATCCCGGCCATTTTGGATATGACTTAAGAGTACTATTGGTCTTTCAAGAATTGTGGAAGAGCCAGGGCTAGTAGAGGGTTATATTGAAAATTGATTCGGACTTATGAATCTCTTCGGTTCCTCATATCCTAGTGTTTTTGCTCATTCCTCTTATCACATGTGTCAGGAATAAATGCAAGATGAACTCTTGGGAAGCTAGTGTCTTAATGTCTGTTGCACTTTATCTCATTCTGCCTTCTGATACGGGTTGGTCAAGATCGGACCGATCACAGTGAAATTGCATAGAGCGGGGACTTGAGAGAGGTGCCGGATCAACGACAGACTGCGTTTATGGTAGCTAATCCGGCCAACATTAGCAGGCGGTGGAAACAACAAACCGACTGAATCTTGACTCAAATATCCGTGTCCGGACCAGGCCCGGCTCGGAGCTCCACCTTATCTGTATGAAGCATTGTTCCTGGACCGGCCGTGCTTACAAAAACACGTACCGGGGCGCGTTGCCAGCGCGATGTGCCCCACCGTCCCAGCAGAGTTCAATGAGCGTCTACAATCTCTATTTACCAATAACATTTAATCCAAACCTCTCTTTCAACAAAACTTCAGAATCATATCCGTACAAACTCTCAGAGTCTGTGATCAAGAAACACTGAAGTTACGTTACGAAACTTCTCGACCAGCTGTCATCTCACTGCCCTGTTGCAGTTACATAAGTTTACTCAAATTGAAGCTGATGCTACGACGAAGTTAATGGAGCTTTTAAGTAGTAAGATTTTCTCCTTTCCGAAGCAGTCGACGCCTCCGCGTTTTATGCCCGTCAGATCAACGTTCCGAATCATGCTGAGTGTGGTGATGCAAAGTCCTGAGCCCAATGCTTAATCGGAGGCAATTGAATACCTAGATCTCCAGTAAGAAAAGGCTAAATATACCATACTGTGGCTCTTGCCTATCTTATTGGTCTGTGTACATCATCACCGCACAAAAGGAGAATGTTTTCTTAAAAAGAATTTCGTGACTGGATCGGTCTATAATATTTGACAGCTGAGTGCTCGTTTTATTGTACAAGGATGGATAAAAGCTGCGTAGACATAAGCATCGGGCCGAGGCAACCCATCCGAGGGATGGACCAAAGCTGTGAGTAGCAAGATTAGGGTATGAGTTACAATTCATGACAGATGTTTCTCTTTTCGTGGTCCAGATTTAGACCAGTTTCAGCTGTATTGATGGTGAGCAAACGTCTCATTGTAGCCATATTTGGCGTACCAGAATTAGCTGCATGACGAGAGTGTATGGCGAAGTGGATAAGCCAGGTATTGCCATAAGTGATTCTCACTGGATCTTTAGCCACACAACATGTATTGAATTTAAAGTTTAGCTACTGAATGACACGTAATAGTCAACGCGAAGCGTCTGTTTTTGAGATAAACATGTAAATAAGCGAAGTTGGATCTTTTTCGCCACCAGAATTCTACTTTTGGATGAGGGTGTAAACCTTTCTGAGCGCCTGATGATCACGTCCTTGACTATAAAGATTCGCTAACCTAATCCAAAGCTTGTACTTGGCAAGCGACAATGGAAGTACAGGAAGACATACGTGATCTCATTGACCATATCCAGCTACTGCAGCAAAATGCGGGGCCTATGGAGCGTCAGATTATTCGAAGAACCACAGAAATACTAGAGCTTTGTGCAGCGGTCCAGCCTCAGGCTCGCATTGTAGATGTGCTCCGTGTCGAGATCGGCCAGCAGAAGTGTTGGGTCAAGGACTACCTAAAGCAACAGAGAGCCTGGCAAGAAATCACGTTCCTTCTTGATGGGCTCACAAATGCCTCAGAAGATCATGAAGCACTCCTCCTGAGATACTGCCAAGAGACCTTAGAGGGGGCTAGGGCCATAGCTTTCGGGCTAGGTATCTCCTTATCACCCCAAGCGTGGAAAGTCAGGCATCATAAGAAGCCTGTGGCTTGTGCAAACGGACGACGCAATACCAATGGCAAGGATATCGATTCTGCTCCAGGAACAACAATCCTTCCCATAGACCGTTCTTAGGAGATTCCAGAGTTCTCGAAAGACTCTACAATCGATCCTGGTATTACTAGTTTGTTTGGATGTGCGTTTATCAAGCTCCTCTGTATCAAATGAGCCCGTAACGCATTGATACGTGATTGGAACTATGCGATGCAGACCCAAAGAAGGAATGCCCTGACTCACGGGACATTCTCTCTACCATCATTTTTTGAACTTTTTAAACACATTGTGTCATCTCTTTGGCAAAGGCGGATAAGCAGTAGTGCATGACATGGTCTTGGTGGATTGCTTTTTTACACGACATCTGTTCTCGAGGGACGGGAAAGTCATGAACATGTATAATATAGTGCAGGTAGACGCATGACTGACATTCTTTGTGAAATGCCTTGACTCTTGAAACCTAATTGAGGATTAAAATTAGTGTCTGAGATAGTAAGATCGAAAAGGATGTTTTTACAATGCCATCCTAACATTGCGCCGGGCTCCCTGGCTCCCTTGCTCCAGTATAAGAATGTAGCAATCATCGAAGTGCATAAGCAGCTACACATGGCCACAAAAGCACGTATTGCCAAATACAATAATGCACATACCAACCAGAGGTAAAGGCTTTGAGCTTCTTCTCATTCAGATATGTTGCAGCGTAGTCGTCTACATCTCAGCATGTCTACGATTCTGGGCCCAATACGTTCACCGGAACAAGCAACTGGAGTATAATGTTACTGGAAAAAAGAAGCTATCATCTCATGATATACTGATGCTTGCATCTGTGGTATGTGCCTACTGTGACTTCCAGATCTTTCTGGTGGGACTCGTGTTATCCGAAGACACAGGAGCTCCGTGAATATGAGACACTCATCCAGTACTTACCGGCATTTAGCTTTTTTATACAGCCCAGGCTATCGTTATAGTCAGAGGCATCGTCGAGGGTGGTATCGGTCAACATGCAAGCCAAATCGGAAATACGGAGATTATTACAGGCTTTCAAATGTGGTACTTCGGTGAACTCATCAATGCCGTGCTTTCATGCCTTATCAAGACCTCTATAGTCTTATTCTTGCGAGAAGCATATATCGGTCGACGAAAAGCTACTGATCAGCGCAAAATCTCCTGGATGTTATACATTTGTTTTAGCGGCATCTGCGCAGTCTCAGTCGTGTTCTTATCGGCCAGCATCTTCCAATGCTCCCCTCCGAGCCATTACTGGAAACAATTTAAGGACCCAAAGAACGAAGGCGCTTGCTCGAAGAGCGTGGTACCAGCTACTGGTATTGCTCTTAGTATAGTTTCAGCCATCACTGATTTCGTTCTGGCATCAGTGCCTACAGTCGCTTTGTTAAAGACGCAGATCCCGTGGCAAAAGAAAGCTGCCATCCAAGGTCTGTCGAGCTTGGGAGTATTGTGAGTGATCCCTGACGCCTTGAAATGCCGCTTTCTACCGACGCAAAGTTGCAGACGAAGGCTACTACATGATTTGTCCCGAAACTGACTGTGTGTCAACCCGGCAGAGCTGGTGCAGTCATGATCGTCCGCATACCCCACATACGAATCCTGGAACTTACAGAGGACTTCCTGTATGAAACAGTGTAAGATTTTTATCCGTTCTGTGTCCGTCGTCGACAGCTAAATTGCAAGTAGGGACGTTGCGAAGTGGACCGTTATAGAAGCCGCTTTAGGAATCATAGCGGGCTGTTTACCAACCACTCTACCGCTCATGAGACTTATGATACGTAAGCGGGCGTCTCAGAGCCGGTCCTCGTCGAGCCAGGGCCATCCTATAACGGAGAGCTGGACTTTTCGAACCCACGTTGAGCGAGGGCTACGGCCGACCGATGATCTCAATGATGGAGAAATCTTAGTTTGTAGGTCAATTTCACAAGTTCGCATCTTGGATAATGGGGCTGCCGGTGACTTGGAGCCTCGACCTGGGGGCTTCCATTAGTTCTACCGACCATCAGGAGAGTCTTTGTGTTTTGCTGAAGATGTACTCTTTTTGTGAGCTAACCGGAAACTCTTGGATAAGGAGTTTAGTATGTTTTTACGGATAGCTATATCAATAATACTGTAGAACCATAAAGAGCACTGCAGACTAGCTATCTTTTGGTAAACGTAGCGTATGATGTTTGTTCACCAATGAATGCCTGTTCAATATGAGAACATCTGTAGGACACGGAGATGACGTGATGATCCAGTTATTGGCCAGCTGGGTGCAGTAAATTTGATGCACAAAGTGCTTCTCACCATGCTTTGTGAACCTGTAGATTGGTGTATATTCACACCATAACATACTATTCTAGAAATTGGACCAAGGGGAATTTGTCTCATTGCCACTGTTTTACGAATATTTCATAGTAAAATTAATACCCCCGTAACAGACAAATCATAGTCCTGCTAATAAGAGGCATGATTCTGCTCAGTTAGTGAGCCCATTCACCACTATGTATAGCAAGTTCTAGACTTCTTATGCCTAGATAGGACTAGGGCTGGATAGAAGGCGGTCGAGTACAGGAATGGAAGTAAAGCTAGAAAGGATAGCAAGCTATTCTATTATTAAGATTGAACCAAAGATCTAGTATCACTTACTGGCATTCTATATCTGTTTGCCCGCCTGCCTTATAACCATCCCTCGGCGCACGGGGTTGCGAGAGTTATAGATTAGAATTACGGCGGTAGAATCAAGCAGCAAGGGAGAAGGACATGTCTACTAGAAAAACAAATGCTAGACCGACTGCTGACAACAGATGGATGACGGTTTCTGAGCAGTCTGGCAGTCTCTCTATACAGCTTACACCGCTTCTCGCTGAGCGCCTTGATGCCACGGAACATACGAACGGGATGGCTCTCCTTATTGGCTCACCATCCTGCAGTGAATTGTCAGATCATCTCAGAGCAACCTCATCAGATGGAAATATTCTTCTCGCCGTAGACACACGGACTAAAGTCCTGCGTGTCGCTTGTCCGACACTTGCAAGACATGTAGGTGCGGAAGACCACTGCCCTGGCGACAACATCGGTTGGGCAAGAGCGAAAGATGGAAACACCTCTCAGTCCCTAGCTGCCATTTATTCTCGCTTATTAGGGCCGTTCACGAATGTAGTATGCATCTTCGCCTCGAGCTTCACATCCACAACTGAGCTTGGTACCTTCCTATCCACATGGCTACGGTCCGCTTGGTCTAGGACACAGGTTCCTAACTCCCCTTCAGCTTCTGAGCAATCAATGCCACATGACTTTCTTGTAGCTCTGCCACGCCTTATTGTTCTGACGGAGGAGAAGTCTTCTCCCAGTAGCGGCTTTTTGGAAAGTCTGAAAGCATCTCTGGAGGCTACCGTTTTCGAACAGACAGGATTCTTTCTTAATAGAGCATTCTCTAGCCTTACTGTAAAAGATACTGCAACGGAAGCCTGCATACTTCGACAACGTCGATACACAAAGGTTACTGCTTTTCTGGATAGCGAGTGTGCGGTGGCACGGAGAACGTTCGAGCGCTTGAACATGCTCTACCATACACACACCATGGTTGACCTATTCTCTAGGGCTTATCACTGCCTTTTGAACAATGAAGCTTTTGATCCAGTCGCAGCTTCCCGGACATGGAGTCCAGTACCACCAAATGCGGCACAGCAGATTGTAAGATTTCTGTCTGAACATAAAGACGAAGAGACTCTCCGAACTTTTGCTTTACCATATCTAGTGTCTGCGATACGCGCGAATGCGTACCCAGCAGAAGCCCATCGTGAGTACTTCTTTGTCTTTTTTTTGTTTCTGCTTCTCACTGCTCTTTCGTACTGTCTCGTCTGCGGACAAATATGGTTTTTTGTGACCCCTCTTCCATTTGACGTATGCATGTTTAGTCTAGTTGTGGCATCGGCTAACGAAATCGGAAAGCTTTTAACTTTCCACTCATCTTTGATACTCTCTACAAATCCATCTGGCACCACGCCGCTAGCACATTGGGCCTGAGAAAAGATATGTACCTATTGGTAGAGGATATGGTGAGAGACCCCGTACGTCCCGTACTCACTGTGGACAACGACGGCACTACAGACCATACGAGGCTTCTGAAGTCTATCCGTCGTCTGAACTCCACCAATTCCCAACACACCATGGCAGTCGTAGATTCCAATTCCAATTGCGGAAGCAATTGCAGAGAGACAGAGCCGAAAACCATTTCAGCAGCTCCGCTCTGTCAAGGAGTTGACACGGTCAATTTGAATGCCCCAATGAGCTTACAAGAGCGACGTCACCTTTTATTTCTGGCCACCTCTCATGATCACTGGCGGGCGTATAAAGTCCACGATTACTGCCCCGTTTGTATTCTGCGACGACCTGAGTATGGACTACCCTGCGGACATATGTATTGCGAGTATGACATTAGACGTCTGGGACGGAAGATACGGCGTGAAACCTACATTGTTGAAGAATGCACCTGCTGTCAAGCCCGCTTCACCGACGTAGTTTTCAAATTTCGGCCTAAGACAAAAGGCATCAGGGTGCTTGCTCTGGACGGTGGTGGAGTCAGAGGCATCATAATGCTACAGTGTCTACACATGTTGCAGTCGATGCTGTGGGTCTTCCTTCCTGGAATGCCCATAATAGACCTGTTTGATCTTTGTGCCGGGACAAGCTCAGGTGAGTGATCAAAAAGGTTGATTTTGAGACTGAAAGCGAGAAACGAATGTCAGCATAGAGGCTGGATGTGTGAAAAAAGTATTGAAGGGCAAGAAAGAGGAAGAGGCGGTGAAGCGGCTGATAGTAGAGATCAGTGAATCCTGGGCATCGTTTCACTTGTACCCACTTAGAAACTAACGTGAGTCACAGGCGGAATCTGTGCTTTGACCCTTGCTCACAAAGGGATATCTGTCAAGAAAGCTATCCAAGACTTTACAGATCTTAGCCAGCGCGTCTTTGTCTCGCAACCAATTTGGGCCAGGGCCTTTAATCTGATCGCACGAGGGTCGATCTACGATAGTAGTGCCATAGACGAAGCTCTAAAGAGGCATTATGGTGAGAGCAAGCTATCTGACTATACCCCCGCAACTGCTCGGGCTGCAAAGGTTCTCGTCACGGTCAAAGGAACGCCAAAAGGGGATCAGATACTAAGTAATTTCAACGGGGTCGGCCTCGATGACTCTCGCAAAGACTTTGAACAAGCATTTCGTCATCCAAATGACGAAGAAGGGCAGGAGGCAATCCTTGCCTGGCAAGCGTGAGTTGACCCCGTATTTCCATCTTGTATCCAATTTGAAAGATCTTCGCTATTCACTTGAGTTTATTCCTGTCCTGAGATGGCTTTGTTTCCTTTTGTCAAACCATTTTTGTTTCACAAAGCTGACTTATGAATGTGACATGAAAGTGCACGGTCCACTTCAGCCGCGCCCGTCATATTCCCAACCTTCACCATCGACGGTGTCGGCACATTCCAAGACGGTGCCATGTGGCGAAATAACCCTGCCGACGTGGCACTTTCTCTCGCCCCTGCCCTAATGCAGGGTCATTGTCTCCCGGATATTCTGTTGTCAATTGGCACAGGGTTCGAAAAGGTGCCACAGCGAAGCCACCGTGAACGGCAGCCTCCTGCACGATCGACGATTCCTGTGATTGACCTTCTCCGTCGGCTCTGCGCTTTCATGGGGGACAATATAGCCACAGACGGAGAAAAGTTTCATAATCATATTATGGCAGGGAGATCCGATGTAGGCAGCTGGTTCAGACGACTCAACGTCCCACTTTCAGAAGGTTGCCCTTCAATAGACGACGCATCATCCATCCCTAGATTGATGGATGAGGCTGCAGCACATTTCAAGTCCAACCCGAGTATGCAAGAAGTGATGGATTCTATTATATCTAGTTTCTTTTACTTTGAGCTCTCTAGCCGGCCTTTACGGCACCGAACACATGTGAGCTTCTGCGGCCGTATCTTGTGTGATATTCAACCAGGCCACCGGCTTAAACATTTTATCAAGAACTTACGTATACGTGGGGCAGAATTCTCGATCAATGGAAATTTCACAGCACTCGACAGCGTAGGAGAGTGGAACGGAAGAGAAGTTGATTTCGAGATACCTGTTCGAGGGACGGTTGCTGGACTTCACACACGGCTCGAGATCTTTCTCTGCTGGAACATGAATGGCCAAAAGATCAAGAAAATAATCAGCCGCTCTCCCTTCAGTCTCGACGGGATCATGGAGGCCCAAGGCTGGGACTCTCCCCAATCCCGGGCTTTGCGACAGCTGACAAAAAGCGGACGCAAGCGTGGGCTCGATTGTCACGCTGCGTGGAAGCGGATTAAAAAGGCTCGGTCGTAGGAATGTAAATGAAGTTATGGTGAGCTCTTCCGTTCCAGTAGATAGTGTAGAGACCAGAGAACAATGGAACTCGCCCCAGTGCTCGCACAAACTTGGCCACGCAGTCGGAGGGACCGGGGCGAAGAGTAGATTGAGCCAGAATATGTCGCAAGTTTGTAGTAAGCACTAGAGTGGGTCTCATGGTGAAAGGGACTCCACTAGTGGGCTGGATCAATTTTTGGTGATTTCTTTCAAACCTTCGACTGGTTAGATATAGCTCGTTCTAACATCGAAAGAAATATCCCCTAAGATCACAACTCGAGCGACCTCAATCACTCCATCTAGCAGGGGTTGTACTCCAGTTGGCTATCTCCTCAAATGATGAGACTGCAGCCAGAAGTCTAAACTCTAGGGTGGCGCCGAGATCCAGTCGCATTGTCCTTTATGAAGGATATACATAACCATGGCGCAGAAACAATAGCTTTGTTATTATCCTGTGGCATATGCTTGTTGATATGAGGCGTCCTTCAATAGCTTCAAATGTTGCGTATGGAAATATACATCATGAAAGAAATGCTTCGTCGAATCTCATGTTGAAGCATCGTTTAGTGACAACGTATATCCGTGAGTGAATAATTGGTAATTGATTGTTTCACAAACGTTTTTGAACCCGATATTGGCGTAGTTTTTGCCGCCGTATATATGGCAGACTAAGTGTCAAAGCAGCAGGTTTCTCTACATATATGGCAAAAGGTCGACTGAAGATTTTCTGGCGGCTCACAATCAAGTTTAGGTTAACCCTCAATGCGGTCATCAATCAGCGCCCTTGTGAAACAAGGGCAAATCAGAACTAGCAATGAGTTCTCATCAGCTTGTGTCAAGGCTGTTACGGACGAAAGTATAATCATTGTGGGTTAAGGTAATTCGAAGTCAACCAGTCTCACACCATTGGTCGTGGTTTTACAGGAGTCAGCCTTACGTGTGTGAAAGTCAAACGCTTCAAAGGGTGGGCAGTTCGTCATCTAACATTATTCTATCCCCGCTCATACCTGATGCTCGGATACCCATTTGGTATCTTGATGACGCTGCTGCTTACCGCCAATCCGAATGGTTGTTGATGTTTAACATAAGTTGCGAAACTGGCCCAGGCGAAGAACGTATTGAGCGACTTTCAAGGCGTGCAAGACTTTACCGTAAGACATAAGTAGCTCAGTGGTCAGATCGAAAACTACGGCAACTTCGCCCCTCTCTCAAGTCTACGCTAACCGTTATATCATTTTACACGCCCCTTCACTTCGCGGAAGATATGCATTTCACCAAAAGAGGATGTGCACCAGTCTACTTTGGTCCAGAAATAATAAGGCATTCCGCTTTGAAAAAGCTCACGGCGCTGGAGGACCTCGAATCTAGTCGGCAGTGGGTTGATTATTCTACAATGTTCTTGAATAGGGATGGCTCCTTCTCACACAGAAAGATTGAAGAGAGATCATTTAGAGGATGCAGCCAGAAGGTTTCTCTATTCTTGGCTCGACTTTTTTCCACTTCGGGATCTGGAACTACAACTGAAGAACAAAGACTGCGTGATGCTCGAAGGCGATTGCTAGTCTCGATTCTTGCGCATGCATGGCTCTGGGAAAGAACCAAAGTGTTGGATAATAGATGCAAACCTGTCCCTTTCGAAGAAAGAAGTGTTCTCGCTCCGCACGACATTTTAAATTTCTTTGACAGGGCTCGGGCTGGCACAGCGAGTTTTACTCATGAAGACGTATGTCACTTTCTGGAGAACGATGCAAAAGTGGTAGCTCTAGACAAGGATATGTCAAAGTGGAATTTGAGGACAGCTATCGCATGTCTAAGATGGGATAAGGCCCATAATCTTCGTGATGGGGGACCATGGTGCTCTTGTCGGCTCGAGAGGAAAGGACTCCCACCACCTTATGACGAAGTGCTCGAGAGGAAAAACCCCCCACCATCTTATGACGTGGGGCTCGAGAAACAAAGAATCTCGCAACTTTATGGCGAGGTTTGCCGAACCAAAATCACATTATGGCGCAGCACCGAGGGGAAAGGTTTAGGATGTGAGGTGAGACTACCCGAGGCCTGGCGGGTGAAAGAATGAATAAAGGTGCAGTCAATAAAACCTAGCCTTATTATAAGTATCTATCAAGCATAGCCTATGCTTAGCTCATATCTGCCATTTGTGGACCATGACGGAAGAGAAAGTCACGGTAGCAATCAATTGATAACTCTTTTTGCCGCTAGCACAATGTATAGTGGGTACGAGTTATTGGTCATTATGGAGCCTGGCCTTATCCAGTAAGAGAAGCTCGGTATGGTAAGAGTGCGCACTGAGAGGTGAAGCATGTTGGCGTATATACTGGCCGTGATTTAAGCATGAATTGTCGCGAGAAAGAAATATCTGTGCGACTTTGCACCTGCTGTTGTTTTGAAACGGGCATGCTCATGAAATCTGTGAAAGGCACCAAGCCATACCGCCATCGACGTTCCATGACAATGTATCGAAACACTGTACGCCAGGTACGCAGTACATATGATCTTGTTACACGCGAGCGTTTCAATCAATAATAAGGTCAATTACGATAACACCAAATCTTTTGGAAGCATGTCTTCCATTACCAAAATGGCTAAGAAAGCCGCATCAACTGCAGAGACAGAAAGTTTTTGGCATCGAGGGCAACTTTGTCTATTCAGAGGACATCATTAGAAAGGCCCAGGAGAGATTGAATTGAAAGCAAAATGATTTCGTCGTTCTCTCACCTTGGCGAATAGAGAAATATGTGAGTGGCGACACCATCAGAAACCGGGCTGTCGCTGCGCTAGTAACATTCCAGAGGGTTACAGCCTGCAGCGATCGGGGTTCTAATAATGCCCTTATAGTTGGCTTTGCTACTCTATTTTAATGAGGGAGCCGACCCCAGTCTGTAACGTCGCTCCTCTTTCTTAAACATTCTAGGCTGTCGACTTCTAATTTCAGACAAACGTAATGGACAACAACACTAATAGATGAGCTTGGCCAGAATTCGGCTCTGTACAAAGGTAAAGCTACTGCACCTATGTCAGCTCAAGTGTTTTGCGCCGTTTTTCATTCTCACCCTTATTTTCTGCCCTGTATGTTCGAATATCACCTGAAGCAATGATTCGTGAGGCACCACTACGAGAACCGGCAACGAAGCGCGTGACGCGCAGTCAGACGTTAGCACAGAGACTAGATCAACTGAAGCGAGAGCGTGTAAATAGAGAGCGGAGGGAGGAGTTCCTGCAATACAAACAAGACGAAAAGTCGAAACTGAAAGCGTTTAAGGCCGCTACTGATTCTGCCTCCATTACAGTCAGAACAGACAATAAAAATGATGACAGTAACAAGGGCAGAAAGCGGCAGAGGTCGGATGCTGACCGCCGTTCGGCCGTGCAGCCGGGGCCTCCGCGAAAGAAAATCCCTCCACTGGCAGGAGCAGGGACCAGCCGCGACGATGAGCAGCGCCGCAAGGTTTTGAGAAAGGAGTGGCTGAGGGTACTCAAATTTGAGCATACCCACCTGCTTCTCGATATGATCGAATGTCTTATGAGTCGGCAAGCCGACAGGTATTATCTTCTTGCATTACAAATCATTTTGATCGTCTTTCCGGAATTTGACCACAACGCCGTTCTCGAAACATTGCCCGCCATGATGAGAAATGCGCTCGAGGAAACTGTGGAGCAAATGTGGAAGGGAGGCCCCAAAAAGGTTTACCTCGACTACCCTGCGGAGGGAAGCAAAGACGAGCGGACTGAGTGTTGGAAACAGCGGGCGGAGCTTTACCATGGCATCGAGATGGGGATTGAAAGGTTGCAGGTGGGAATCTTCGCGGTATGTCAGAAAGGACCGGACGGTCTACCTCCAGATCTATATGAGAAGGTCGAAAGCGCAGAACATTGCAATATTTTTACAGATCACTTTGCGGTGAATATGAGACGAGCTGCTTGTGTTTTTGAGATGACTCAGCTTCCTAGCCGGGAAATGGAGTTTTTGATCTTTATCCTCAATGAGATGATGCGGAGAGAGGCGGAAACTTCAAAGAAGTTGGAAGAGGACATAAATCGTTTGAAGCAAAAGGCCAATGAATCTGATAGCAAGCTGGAAGACTTGCAGAAATTTCTGGACGGCATTGGCACGGGTACCACGGAAGCAATCAGTATGCAAACCGCGGCTGACGAACTATTGGAGGAGGACGAAGATCCACCGTCGAAATCTTCCTATACAAACAGTGTATTGGACGGCTTCCGAGAAAAAATTAATAACTACGAGTCCGAAATACAAGGTTTGAAATCAGCTCGGGACACTTCTCAAGAAGAACTGAACACTGTGAAGGCGCAGAAGGATTCTCTTACTACCGAAATGGAAGGAATACGAGCATCCTGTGAATCCCTAAAGGACGAAAGTCATCAGTTGCAGGCACGATATAATGCCGCTCTCGAAGAAGTGCAAACTCTCAAAGGCGCAGCTGCAGAGTCGAATCAACGGCTGGTCGACCGAGAGGTGACATTAAAAGAGCAACTGGAGACGGCGCAAATTGAGCTTGAGCAAAACCAATCAAAGTCACCACTTCAGACTGAAGATACAGTAATCATAGCTGGGCTGCAGGATACAGTCAACAAGCTGACACTTGAACTTGCGGGTTGGGACCAGTTGTATGCAGAGATTTTTAATGAAGAGTCTGTCACGGACTCGACGAGAAAGCCTCAAAGCATCTTGGAGCTAACCCAAGGCCTGAAGTGCGAGATTGAGAAGCTTGTTGAGAGCGACAGTGGGCTTAAAATGCAGGCAGAAAAGATAGAACAGGCGGAGAGGACCGCGGAACTGGAAAGCCGTAATGCGGCTCTTCAAGCGAGAGTTGCTGATCTCGAACAGCAGTCTCACAAGCCATCTCCGGATATAAACATGAGTGACGCGAGTCAGCAACAAGCTGAAGACGATTCAAATCCCTCATTAGACATCCTAGCAAGCTCCTCCAAGGACTCGGTCACCACTACAATCACTGTAGACGAGCTCCAAAAAATGAGTAAAGAACTTCAAGATGTAAACTCGCGATTAGAGACTGCAGTGCAGGCGAACGCTTCTCTGCAAACAAAAAGCGCTGAGCTCGAGAACGAAGCTAAGGTACTCAAGGCCAAACTTCACGCATCTGAAGATGAGAAAGCTAAACTGCAACCTCAATGTAAAAACCTTCGTTGCTCCGGTCTTCTTGAGCCTGTTCCCCAGGAGAAAGGGAAAGAGACGTATATAGAGCATACTGGCACACAAACTATGCGTGAAGCGGAAGACGCGCGCCAATTGAAGGAGAAAATAACATATATCGAGGCCTTACAGTCTTATATCAAGGGTTTAGAGGACACGGCAATTCAAGAAGAAAAAAATTACATGTTGATACAAAAACAAAAGGATGATTTAGCCTCGCAGTTACTGGCAGCTAAGCACAAAGCATGTGACACGAAAATGGCTACTGCAGAAGCTGATCGACGGATCGCAGGATTGCAGGCTACGATAAAAGCAAAACAATTGATAATAGAGGAGTTGGAAAGTGAGGTAACCATAAAGGGAACAGAACACGGATCGATACAAATGGAAAAAGACATGTTGCTGTCGCAGTGTGATGAGTTACAGCGAACCGCAAGCTCCAACAAAAAAGATTTTGAGAAGAGAGAAAAAGACATGAAGGAGCAAATTGATAAGCTGAAGAAGGAGGTTAAGGACGAAAAGGAGACTCAAGAAAAGAATCTAAAGGAAAACGAGCGAATACTGCAGGAGAAGATAACGTCTATCAACGACTTGGAGAGGAAAATCAAAGCTTCAGAAGATGATGCAACGAGGGAAAAGCAGGACAAACAATTGATGGAAAATGAAAAGAATGAGTTGACCTTGCGGCTTTGTGAGTTCGAAAAGGTCGCGAGAGCGAATTCCGAGAAGATCAAAAAACAAATTCAAGATCTGCAAGAAAGAAACCTGAAACTAAAGTCAGACGTTGAAGAACAGGCCAAAGAACACAATCAGAAAAAAGAAAAAGCCGACAAACGATTGAAAGATTTGACAAAACAGGTTCATAATCTAGAGGATGAAATCAAGAATGCTCGCGCAAGCCTTGCGGACAAAGACCAAGAGCTCCAAAGCATGAAGACCGCTCATGATATCAGTGAACAGGTCACCGGTTTGCAAGATACCATCGAAAGGAAAGAGTCCGAAATATCAACGTTGAAGGAAAAGACAACAGAACAAGCAGCCGAACAGGAATCAATGCGAAGCGAGAGGGAGAATTTACTGTCTCAAGTTGCCGACCTGCATCAAATGAGAAATTCTATCAAGAAGGCGCATGGTAATAGTGTCAAACTTCTCGTGGTGGAAGTAGCTCGACTATGGAATCAGCTTCACACGCAAGCACAAAGTTGCATCGAGACAAAGGCTGAGTTGTCTACTTGCCGTAATGAGCATGCATCACAGCTCACCAAACTTGCTGAATTGTCAGAACTGACGCAGTCGAGAAATGAACTCTATAACCTACAGAAGCAGCTGGAAGTGAAAGACAAAGAACTCGCTAGAACAAAGAAGCTTCTAAATCAAACCGAGGAGAGGACCGCGAATTTACAAGATGAAACGGAGAAAAGTCATTCAATCATAGAAAATCTACCTCTTTCCGTGGCATCTTTACAGTCTACGGTTGACGGTATCCAGAGGATGGTAAGCGCACAGCAGCAAAGTACCTGCAATGCGACACCAAACTGTGGTTCCTTGCAACCGGAAAAAGGCGCTCATAATGATGACAGTAAAAGCTTCGCCGAGTTAAGAGACCAGATCCAAAATCTCGAGCATTTCATCGTAGAACGATGGGCGAAAAACGACATGGAAACCAAGGTTAGAGAACTGCAAGATAAAATCATGAACTTGGAGAGGTCGGGAGATCTACTAAAAGCCGAAGTTGTCATCGCAGCGGCCAGAAGGGATGATGCAGAAGCAGAAGCTGCGAAATGGGTTGGCAAGCACAAACTTTTAGAAGATCGCTTGCGGAAGACACAAGTCCAGCAAGTGGTGGACGCAAAGCTCAAAGTGGAATCTGAAGGCCAAGAAAGCATAAACAGGATTTATGAAGTGTCAAGGGCGGATAGTAGTATCCCTGCTCTGATGACAGAGATCAGTGAGAGTAACAAGACCTTGAGCCTATTCTTTGAACAATACAAGAGCGACGTCGATCAATTCAAGAGCTTGCACAGAAGGCTAGAAACCCTTGCTGCAGAGCTCCGAGATGTGGAAAATAGAGTGGATAACTGTATTGGCGTGCTTGGATCGACATCTGGGGATTCCTATCCTGGTATTGTGGATTCGGGTACAGGTCAGCTTGGTGAGGTGGTGGAACGGAGAATTGCGAAGAAGGTTAGCGTTCTTATCGAAAAGGTCCAGCTCAAGATTCAAAACTTGGAATCAGCTCTGGAGGCCAAGGAATCAGAGGTCGAACTCGCTGCGCTACAATCTGAAATGACTGTCCAAGAAGCTGGCCCGATGCACACGTCCTTATGGAAGGAGGTCCCATCAAGTCCTAGGGTCGGAACACCAAAATCTGAGCCAGATCTTTCCTTTCATACTCCAGAATCAATTCACACGCCCATTAGTCAACATAGAGAAGGCATAAAAGGCAGTCAGTATGGGCATGAAGATTCTGCATTCGATATCTACCCGCCGTTGCCCGTCAGAAAACACACACAGCCAGTACCTACACAAACAATGGACGGCCAACTTGACAAAGGTTTAGCAATAGATCAGCCCGTTCTAATGCAGCGCCCACGCAGATCCAAGGCTTGTAAGCTAGGAGTATCAGAAGAGAACGCAGCCGTGGATACGGAGAAGTCCTTATTACATCTCGAACGATTTAGAATGACTGTACTATTACATCAGTTGTCGGCGATATTGCCATCTGAGGAGGTATATGCATCCTTGGAGATCTTGACGAAATCTGGTCATATCTATTCATGGACAAAGATCGGTAAGCATAACCAAGACCGGTTGAATAAATTGGCTGGCGTCGAGTCGGCGCAAGTTCCAGAAACATTTGAAGTCCAGGTACACAACGCTCTTGCTGGTATGAAAGTCAAGAGACAACCACTGTTTCCTGACGCTTCTTTGCCGATATACATTCATATCTTCAAGATCTTCGCCGATCTCAAGCAAAACACGTATGCTGGAAATCACAGCAATCCTAAAGGAAGAGTACAGAGGATGGCACTACCAGCACGGAACAAACTTACTAAGCAACCAATGCGAACCCGGGATCCAAGGGACAGACTAGCTGAAAAATCACCGGGGACTACAGGCCTCAGATTCAAGGGCGCAAAAGCGATAAAGGTCCGTCCACAATTGAAATCGTGAGTCATACTTAGAAATAAATCCCTAAAACAAGGGCCAAATTTCTTTGCTCCCATAATCACGCCCGAGCAGGCATCAAAAGAATTGATTTCGTAATGATTAAGTTATGCCAGAATTTTTCACATCACTGTGAACATAAGTAGTGTGAAACATACAAGAGGACATTTGGGCCTCGTCTGCCGCGGCGACTATGAGATACGGGACAGAAAGTTCAGGAAGGTTTCATTGAGTTGCTGTCAATTTGCTCCTACATCGGTACTCATATTCACCAGTTATCCTTTCTTCCCGTTGCTCAGTGTTTATATCATCAGAAGCCCTTCAAATTATCCAACGGCTGACATGATGGCCTCTTGTTCATCTACCGACAAATCAAAGGTCCTGAGGTCTTTGACCCGTATATTTGAAGATGCAGGGGCCTTACAGTCGGATTTCATTGACAAAGTACGAGTCGAGAACTGTATTGGCTTCTGTCAAATTCCACTAGCTGTTGCAGGGCCTCTTCAGGTAACCGGAGGAGTCACACTAGATACAGTCTACGCACCTCTAGCAACGTATGAAGGAACTCTTGTAGCTAGTTGCTCTAGAGGATGCAAAGCTTTCAACGCTTCTGGAGGAATCCACATCGAGACACTCAGCAACAGCATGAGTCGAGGCCCTGTTTTTACTTTCGACAGCCCTGACCATGCAGTCATATTCGCCAAAGATGTACCGGCTTTGAAACCGATTTTTTCGCAGTGGGCAGCGGAGACGAGTGCATATGTACGACTTCAGGCTATGCAGCCCACTATAATTGGTTCAAAGGTCCATGTGCTCTGTAGCTACAGCTGCGGGAGTGCAGCCGGGCAGAACATGGTGACCAAGGCCACTCAGCACGCATGCGAGATGCTTCGAGATTCCCTGACCGATAAATATAGCATCCGAGGCTTTCTTATCGAAGGACAATTGGCATCTGACAAGAAGCCCTCGTGGGGAAACGTAAAGAAACCTCGAGGAGTGGAGACACTAGTGTGGGGAACCATTTCCCCCGATGTCTGTCGAGAAGTCCTCGGCTGTACCACCGATCAGCTCTATGCCACTCAACAGATTTTGAAGGAAGGCGGGATTCGAAACGGCCAATTTGGCTGCAATGTCAACCCGATCAATATCATTGCGGCCATGTTCATAGCGACTGGTCAGGACCCCGCCAGTACCGCTGAGGCATCCTGGAGTCACTTGACTTCCGAACTTCACCCTAAGACGGGTGCACTCACCATGAGTCTCTATCTGCCATCTCTTCCTGTTGGTACTGTTGGAGGCGGTACTGGATTACCAATGCAAAGGGAGGCCCTGAAAATGTTGAAATGTGATGGGGAAGGAGCGGAGCAGAAGCAGCGGCTTGCTGGTCTCATCGCTGCTTTCGGCCTTGCCCTGGATGTCAGCACGAGCGCAGCCGTAACCAATGACACTTTCACCGCCAGCCACATGCGGCTCGGGCGGGGACAAGAGCGGGCTAGACTGTGATCTATTACAGATGAGATGACGTCGATAGAGCCAGCGTTCAACCACCGGTAACGTACCGGAAAGCCGCCACTGCAGGGAAAGCTACATCTAGATCTACGACGATAAAGTCGTGAACATAGTGCGGGTTTCAGGAGTTCAATCTGCTATAGAAACGAAACTATTCAAGTCCCATTTGTTCTTTGCCATCATAACAAGAGCTTACTATTTGAGGGCGCATCAAAATCCCTGAAGTGCAGGAGACACGTGTCAAGAGTAGTCATATCACGAAGGCGGGGCAAAGGCGATCTGTCCTCTCAACGGTATAGTAGCGAAGTTTGCCAATAGCCTTATTTCTTTCTGGTAGATATCAACATGGTGGAAGGAAAGCATAGTCGGTAACTTTCCTTGGGGATAGTAAATTGTTCACAAAGAGCTTAGTGCTTTTTGTAATCATTTTCACTATATAGCGTACAACAGACAGTACCAAGCACTACTAGGTGACCATTCTTAATGCTGGCAAACTTATTTGCTTTCAACTTTAGTCAAGGGGGACGACGGGACATGGGACAGTCTGACCATGGAGCAGGTCGACGCATGGACCTCCGTCTAAGGACGAATGAAATGAGGAGGCATTTAGGCAACAGCGCCGGAGGAGGCCATTGTGGGTTACTAATGACAAAAGAGGGTTGAAACGAAGGATGAGATATGTGCCAGATGGTACATCTTTTTCCTGCCTCGTCCGATTATAGTTAGCTGCAATTCATTGTAGACTCACACAATTCGCCGTACATACGTTCCATCAAATCTCAGCAACTCGCGCATTAGCCTTGGTCATTGATCCGACAGAAGGTGTCCCATGTTTTGATAAGGCATCTGCTCCACTCGGCGCTAAAGGTGAGTTCACAGTGAGCTCACGGGTGAGCTGACAGGAGGTTCCATAATTACTTGAATAGGTTAGTACTATAGAAAAATTTCGTCCCTGCCAATAACGATCTGTAGGTCTGGAATAGTTACGCTAGCAATTTGAATTTAACATTGACCCATGTCAGGTCTGAATTTAGATTTTCAGGACTCCAACATGCAATGGGACGATCGATGTTGACTCGATTATCGAGGTTTATACATCGGCATGAAGGTCGACGTGTGAGTGAAAGGGATCCTTATCAGTTTGACAGAATTCGTTATCTTTTTGACAAAAAAGATGCTGCTGAATTGTATAAGGAATATATGGCAACACGAAAGAGTGTCCTATGAGACTATTAGGTCGAATGGTAAGGAATTACTTGCGAACCTGTTTGCTTTTAACTTTGGTCCAGGGCAACGATGGGACATGGGACAATCTAACCACGACATTAGTCAGACCATGTCGACCCCATAAAAAGGAGTGCAGCGACGCAGTTGATAGGTGACGAGCTGAATCGAGACAAAGTCTTGGAACTAAAAAGGCGATTCTATAATGACAGATCACAAAAAGTAAAAACTTGGAAATAGCATGGAGAATAGGGCGAGAGAATGTTTAGTTATGAGAAAGTCAAACAAAGGATTTCGACAAAGATAATGTTTTATATGATTGCCTCGTAGCAGCCATCGCCAAATTCTAATACTTGGCCACTACCAAGGACATAACGTATATACATTGACTGGAGAATGTAAAGAGCAAGAGGAAATACCGAAGCATGTCCCAACTATTCAATTTCCATACTAACGAGAAGTCAACCACGTATCGCGCCACGCAAGCCATCGCTCAAACTGGCAGGAGAAGATTGTGAGGCCAAATATTCAAGATAGGCATATTGACCGGTTATGTTCTATCAATTCGAGCTTCTTGGGCAGAGCCCAATTCTTAGCCTTTATATTCGCTGTCTTTGTGTTTGCCATCACCGTATCTAGGCTTATGGTAGGTGGTGTAAGGCTTCTTGGTGACGGTCTTGGTGACAGTCTTGTACTTTGTGACCGTGGGCTTGAAATTGGTGACAGTTTCAGTCTTGGTCTTGGTGATCGGGGCCTTGTAAATGGGCTTTGTGACAGTGTGCGTGACGATGGTGGTTACGGTACTGACTTTTCCCCCGTAGCCGTAGCCATAACCATAGTCACCGCCTGAATTGGCAAACGCCAGAGGGAGGGAAAGCAGAGGGGCGATCAAGATAAGAAACTTCATGTTTGAAAGCGGAGCGAAAGTGTTTTGTATACGATATTAAGGTGAGGAGTGCATGAAAGAGTGCAAGGAAGAAACTTTTTATCGCCTTTTGCTTCAAGATTCTCCCATTCTGTTCAGAATAGTTACTGGTCATTCATCAATTAGTTGGAATACATACGCATGATCCAATCATGACTCATGTCGTCCTGCGCTCTAGCAGCAGAGCTCATATTCGTGTCTCACTTAGCACAATAACCCAAGACTTTCACGCTCAGAGATTCACTCGGCACAAACTTGACTGTTAAATGAAACAAGTCATCAATGGTCAAACTGAGACCAAACTACAAGCTCTCAAGGGCTTATGACTTTATATTCTCGCAGAAAAATAATATTGTTTGAGGCAAGCACTGATTGTACCATTTCGTTCTTTTTTTATTAGTCATTGGCGGACCTTTGTGAATGACCCTGAGAGGGGAAGGGACTGTGAGGAGCCGTGCGGGTTCATTGGTCGCTCTAACAGTTGAACTGAAGCCAGTGGGCGATTTGATTGTAAAACAATGAGAGTCGTCTCCAATTCGGAAGCGCAATACAATAGTAGAGGCTCCCATTTTTGATCGAGATATTCACATCCTGCGTCTGCAAAACTACCAGACTATCAATTGGTTATTAGTCAACACAGCAGTGTAATAAAGTCTAGAGATCGGAAAGCGCTTGTCATAACCCTCTCCTCGAAATGTTCTGTTGACTAGCTTTTCGTACACACACACACACACAAAGTCTATTACGCCCGGTAGGCCAACGCCCAAAGGGTTCTAAAGTCTAAAAATTCATGCGCTTCGCCAATTAATGTCTTAGTCTCGCCGAGCCCCTATATTTTCCGCCTTGTTCTCTTCTGTCTCTTCATCACCTCTCCTTCTAGATCCCTGTATTAGTTAGTAGTAGCAGGTCGGCTTGAAGACCAATTCCTCCAAGTGTTCAGTTTCCTATTTCCGGCGGCTGAAGCGATGCCCGCTTTTGGTTGTACAGGGTATTAGTTGTTAGTTGGTGCAAATTTGTGGTCTATCAGCTCGTAGTGTTCCTGTCATCTCTGTTCTAGGCGACCTGTTGCGATCGCGAATTGGATCGTGGCTCGTACTGCTTTCATGTTCGGTGTCCACTCTTGTCCGTCTGATACTGCTTTACCTCCCAAGTGGAAAGAGAGGTTGCCGCGCTTTTCTTCTACACATTGCAGCATCATATCTTTGCGTTGTGTCGTCCACTTTATGCATCGGAAGAGGAAGTGCTCTACCGTTTCTTTCGCACGTCCGCACAGGCATTCGTCCGACTGTGCGGCCCTGATCTGATATAAATAGCCATTTAGTCGTGCCATTCCAGTTCTAAGTTGAGCCAGCACGCTGGCCTCTTTCCATGATAGCTGATCGTATAGCAGCCGGGTATGTTTACCAGGCAGCGCTGAGTCGACCCTTCTAGAGTGCCCACCAACTCCATCTGGTAGCTTCCTTTCCTTTCGTAGATCTGCTCTCGTTCGACTGAGAATCGTTGTCTTGGCTGTAGCCATTCCTCTCTTTGGTGTGACATATGGCTCAGTAGCATGACGTGCTGACATCTTGGCTGCTTTCTGAAGTTTGAGCTCGCTGTTGCGTGACAACCAGATAAGGTTGACTTTGTTTCCGTTCGTTCTGAGTTTCTCTAGTGCATCATATATCTTCTTAATATGTCCTTGACCTGACTGCTGGCGAGGATTACCTATGGCCAGTGCCGCCGATTTGTTGCTCGTCAAGATCACAATCACTCGATACTTTACCTCTGACAGACAGCCGAGACCATAGGCAATCGCTGCTAGTTCAGCTGTATACGGGTTGTGTTCTTCCCTCGTACCTAGGGTGATCGAAAAGGTTTCGCTGAGCTTGCCGGCTCTTGCCACGGATAGTGGGATCCTGATCGCTCCGCCCATGCCGACCAGATCGTTTCTCGCCGAACTGCTTGTCGCGATCCTAACCGCCCATCCTGCTCTGGCTAGCTCTTTGATCTTGTGTTCTTCTTCCTCTCCTTGTGTACTCAATATGACCTTTATACGCGTTTCCCACGGAGTGAGAGTAAATGGCTGGATCACTTCCATGGTGTCCTTCGGCAACTCTCGACATACATCCGCGATGCGTCTGAGAGGAGATATGAAGCGTCTGAATGCTTTGATCCCTCGCACGAGATTTCGGACCGGATTGGTTCGCGGCAGCGTGTGTATATCTACCCATAACTTGCTCGCTCGTCTCCAGAACCGTTCGTGGATGGTCGCTATGTGGGCTTCGGCCTCAGCTACTCCTGTCGCCACGCTCGTGAAGGACCCTATAATCGCTTGCGCTCCTATTCTCTGTACTCGTTGGATGGCATACGTCGCTAGTGTTTTGCAAGCATGCATCCAGACGTTGGAGGCGTAGTCCACTACAGGGGCTACCATGGCTGCGAAAAGCTGCCTCGTTGTCGAAGGGGCCATCCCCTTGAGTCGTTTCAGTTCCATCACCGCCTCGAGGCCTTTCGTCGCTGCCCTTGCAATGTGCTGCTTGTAGTGAAGCCGTGAGTCCATGACGACCCCCAGAATCTTGACTTGATCTTTCGGAGAGACTCTCTCATCCTTACTGGTGAATGGCTCCGAGTCTATCCTGCCTGTGTATCTGGTGAAATGTATGATGGCCGTCTTTTCTGCCTCAAAGGTCGCACCGCTCCGTCTCTCCCAGTCAAGAGCTTTGTCGATGATCGCTTGGATCCCTCTCCGGTTGCTCTGGGCTGTCGGTCCCGACACCCACGCCGTGTAGTCATCGACAAATGCAATAGCACCGCCATTCTTGTCAATCTGAGTTTGCACCAGATCTGCGTTGAAGAATAGAAACAATATCGGCGACAGAGGCGATCCCTGTGGCAGTCCCGCTTGTGGCAGAGGTCTACTCTCGGAGCTTTGTCCATTCACCATGATAGTTGCCGTTCGCTCGGAGCAAAAGGCATCTATCCAGTGTAAGAGACCATCCGGAATTCCTCTTGCCTCCATCCGCTGCAGTAATCTCTCTTTGCACACACCGTTGTATGCGCCTTTCACGTCGAAGCTGATTAGGCTTACGACATGGCGTGAGCGCCATGCTGAAAAGATACGTTCTTGAAGGAGTATAAGCGCTTGCTCTGCTGATCGCTGTTTTCGTGCACCAAAATGGTTAGTAGGGAGAAGTCCGTGAGTCTCTACCGCGTGAGAGATCCTCTCGGCAACTACCGACTCCAACACTTTGCCCAAGGTAGCAAGAAGCGAGATTGGTCTCCAGGCTTTTGCAATCGTGTAGTCGTCTTTTCCTGGTTTCTTGAGCGGGATAATTCGAGCATGTCTCCATTGTTTCGGTATCACGCCTTCCTCTAATGATGTTTGGAAGATGTCGAGAACGTCGTGTTTCACCGACGGCCAGATTTGCTTCCAGACGACCGCTGGTAGTCCATCCTCTCCAGGCGCCTTCCATAACTTCGCTGCCCACAGTTGGCGCTCCACCTCTTCCATAGTCAGGTTCGGCATCGTTACTGGAGCTCTCTGTGGTCGTGGTCCTTCGTCTTCGATGTTGTCTGGCAGTGGCGGAAAGAACTTGGCTAACAATTCTTCGGCTTGTTCTCCACGGTTAGTTGTTACTGTCCCGTCTGCTCTCGTGAGCTGTGGCACTTTCCCAAAAGCTGCATCATCCCCAGACTTCATGTACTTGGCTGCTTTCCAGATGTTGTCGTTATCTGCTAGGAACTCTTTCCAATGGTTGTTCTTCCGTTGCCGTATGGCATCGTGATATTGCTTCGCTGCGGCGGTTGCTGAGCCCTCGAGGTCCGAGGAACCCTGTCCGGCACGTCTCGCGGTCCGCGCTCTGTTCCTCCAGTGTGTGTAAACGTGTCGTAGCTGTGTGAGATCAGAGGTCCACCATCGCTTTGCATATGGAGACGGTTTGGCTCTTGGTGTTAAGGTCTGGACGGCTTCTGAGACCGCCAGCATCAGCCTGTCCGTCTTCTGCTGCACTGTATTTCCCATCGGTTCATCTCTCAGTGTGTTCGCTATCCTGTTATTGATCCCCTTCCATGGTGCATTCTTGAACAGCAGTCTTTCTTCCTGTTTCGGTTTCGGGACTGAAACGTCAAACATCGTCTCTATTGTACGATGATCCAATCCGTGTTCCGTACCATATACCGCACATTTGATATTCGCGTTCGCAAGCTCCTCGGAGGCCAGAACCAAGTCGATCGTTGTCTCATAGCCTCCGCTTTGCCATGTTTTTGTGCCCCGTCGGAGCAGGCTCCGAAGCATAAAGTCGTTCATCAAGTCGATGATCGGGTCCGCCTCCCCTTGTCGCTCCACCGATACATCGTCCCCTCCCCACATCTGGTCGTGCCGGTTAAAGTCGCCAACCATCACTACATCAACCGCTCTCCCTGATCTCCGTCTCACCTCCGTAATAGCTCTGCTGAGCTTGCTACACGTGTCTCGTAAAGCTTGGGCGTCTCCGCCCGGTACGTAGACCGACGCCGTGAACACCAGACGGTCTGGCAATCGGAGGACCGCTGCTGTCACGTCTGGGGACTCTATCGGTACCTGCTCCGCCTCCACCTCCCTATTCACCCAAAGCATACTTCGAATCACCCATCTACCCTCTCTCTCTGTCGTAGGCACCATCTTAACCCATCTATGATGCCCCATGGGTGTCATCAATAACTTGCCCTGGACCCTGCGTGCATGGGGCTCTTGGATGGCCAATACGGTTGCATCCTGAATGTCCTTGTCGTTCATTAAACTATCATGTACTGGCCCTTGCTTTCTGACATTCAGTTGGAACAGTTGGAGTATACTATTCATGCTGTGATGGATAGAGTTTCCGGCAGTTTCTGCTGTATGACTCGTGGGGACCGCCACAAGGAATACATTTCGGAATCGTTCCTGTGCATGCACTGTGGTGGTGACCTTCTTGTGCGCATCTCCCACAGACTTGTGGTCTGTCGCATTGATAGGCTTTGTGGTTCGTTATCTGTTGGCACTTGTAACATTGTTTGGGACGTTCTCGGCGTTCAAACACGCTCGTGGTGCCGGACTCCCCTCCAGCCACGAAAAATCCTTCACCAATGAATCGCCTGGCTTCCGAACGCTTCTTGAGGTACACGACCATCGAGCCATACGCTTTGGGGATATCTCTCTTGCTGAGCCATGCTATCTTTGCAACCTCGGTGTCGTTCTCTCGACCAAGGGTCTCGGCGGCTTCTATCCGAATTTCGTTCATCTCGTTCAGCACCGCGGTGCGACTTACGTTATCCACCTTGATAGGGTAGAGATCATCTCGCAGGACACGAGTTCCTCGTGCTAGTTTTGTCTCTGCAATTTGTTTCACAATCTCATGCTCGTTCTCGTCCCTTCAGGTGATCCTGACGCGGTAGGGGTTCTTTGGGTCTATTGTCACCGCTCGGCATCGCCACCTGGGATTGTCTAGCTCAGAGCGGACTTGGTTCTCCACTGTCGCTCGGATCGTCCCGGCCGAGATCCTAGCCTCCTCTTCTTCCAGTCTTGACACGTCAACTGTGCAGTAGAACACGTCTACGGGGTTCGGAGGAGCGGCTACGGTTCTCGAATCGTTGTGGAGTATAGATGATGTCAGTCGTGTGACGTCGGCGTATGATCGTTGAGGTCCCTCTGTTGCACTCGTCGCAATCGTTTCGAGCTGTTCGCGGACCCGCTGTAGTTCTTCGGCCATCTGTTCCTTCATCTCGGCCATCTGCTTGCCCATTTCGCACATCGTTTCTTCTTGCTTTGCGACAGCTTCCTGTAGCTCCTTGGTCATTTCCATCTGTTCTCTCAGCGCTTCTTGCAGTCTTTTAGTCTCCCTGCGCGACTCCCCCAGGAGATCCAGCGCCTTCTGCAGCATTGCCCTTCCATCACTGCCGCCGCTGCCGCTACTCTTTCGGACGTCGGTCGTTCGATCGGTTTGCTCTTCGGTTGGAACACTTCGAGTCGTCTGCCGGGTAGGTTTTCGCGTTTCTTTGGCGGTGTCTTCGAGTTGTCGCGCGGTGTCTCGGACTTTGCTCGTTTGCCTCACCACCCGACTCGATCGTTTTGGCGTCGAAAAGGGGGTGTCATCCTGCTCCACCACGATCTCGGCCCCTATTGGATCCGCCATGACGGCAAGCTAAGCAACCTCCACACACACTTTCCCGTCAACCCAACGATAGCAATGTTCTGATCTCCTCTCGTTAAAAATGCAGTCGCCTTGGTTCCGATCCCTACTGTACAGTACAGTCTCACCCTCAGTCGCTTTTCGTACAGTGCCGGCCGAAATTAGAGGCCGCCCTGGCTTTTTACAAAAAGTTTCCGAGCATGGACCATGTCAAAGACGTGGCTGGCATAGTACAGATAGCGGTTTTGCGCACCGTCATGAACTATGGTTGCTTATTTCTAGAAGGTCACCATGTATTATTCTCGACCCTAATATATAAACGAGCTCAAGAGAATAAGGGATAAACCTTTTCTGGATACATATCGCATACAGAGGCAATATGCTGACTTTCTTACAGCTATAAGCAATCATTTCGGACGGCTGTAAGCCATAACAGTATGACGACATTCTCTACGTACTGTAAAAGCCACACTAGCCACAAATGACCCGGCCTCTGATTTCGGCCGGCATTGTATGATAAACTAGTTGATAGTTGCAGATGATGTTCTGATACAGGCCCCTGCGATGAAAGGCTTCCGGACGCCCTGGCGGCCTTCAATCGTCAATCAGGCGTAGAAAGGATTTCACAACGTTAATGTGTGACTGCGTCCGATAGCGCCAAAATCTTACCAGCTAAGTCAAAGCCTATGATTTGTATTCTCGGTTTTAGGGGTTGGGTGGCACGATGATCATTTCTGAAGGGATAACAAATGTCCTTCCTAGAGTTTCGATGTGTATGAACCTGAGTCTTGAAATGTGGGTATTTCACGTCAACTCCCCACCATCATTGTTGTTCGTCATTTGTCATCTGACAGCAGGATTCCAAAACAGGGATAATAAAATGCCCCACTGCAGCTCTTCACAAGTTCACCGCGCTAAAGTACATAGACTCATTGCTCTCAGAGACTTCTCTGACTGGATCGCGATGACCTTGTTCGTTGTTTTGCATGATTCGCAACCTTTTCGCGTCCCGCATTCATCCCATGAGTTACTTTTCTACATGTAGCCGCTACATGCTGGGGCATGCCGATGGACCTCGCCTGATCGTAAAGCTAGCATCAGCATTTTCGTAAGAATAAGATTCCACGTTACCTTCGACGACATGCGGGCCTGCTGCTTCTCGCATCGAGTCCAGTATTCGTGGCTTAATGGAATTGGATGGGGGACCAGGAGTCTACGATATACAAATGATCAAAAATCATGCAGCGCCTCGATACTCAATGTTGAACACCATTTCCTAACTCGGTATGAGGATAATTGAATGTTTCGACGAAATAATTTCACAGGGTCATCCTTCAATTTCCAGACGCTGTAATAGAGATGACTGGAAATCAAGGTATGTATAATCAATATTGAGGCCGATATCGCATGCTTTCGCCACTTTCATACAGCATAAATCTCGCCTGCCCTCCCGTACATTAGGACTCTCATAAGGTCAGAATCATTAATTCGAATATGGGCGGGTTGGAAGAATTGCCAGTCAAGAACCGCTACCACATTACCTTTACCATTCTATTTCACAGGAATACACCTTCAACATGGAGCTTGCCCAAACAGCATTCGTTCCGAAGCCGATTCGTATTGTCGTCATAGGTGCTGGGTAATTTTATCCTCCTTTTGAATTTGGATTAGCAATTAACCGTTGTAGGATATCGGGCATTCAATTCCTGAAGGATGTAACCACGCGATTGCCAAACGTCAACATCACAGTTTATGACAAGAACAGTGAGGAAGGAGGAACTTGGGCTGAGAACAGATATCCTGGGTGAGAATTTCCCTCACCCCTAACTACTCATGGGCAACTGCTGAAATTTTATAAGTTGTGCATGCGACATCCCGTCCCATGCCTACCAGTACAGCTGGAACCCCAACCCCCGTTGGAGTCGCCTATATGCCGAGGCGGCTGAGATCTTAGACTATCTTAAGTCAACAGTGACCAAGTTCGATCTCAGACGATATATTCAATTCGGTACAACCTGCACCGGGGCGAACTGGGATGAGATGAATTCGGAATGGAACGTTTCTCTGCAAAGCAACGAGAATACTGACAATGGAGTCTGGGTCAAGTGCGACGTTTTTGTCATTGCTATCGGAAGGCTAAACAATTGGAAGCTACCGGACATCAAAGGTCTTGATACGTTCCAGGGACGTGTGATACACACGGCAAACTGGCCCCAAGGCCTAGATTATCGTGACAAAGATATAGCTGTTATAGGAAATGGGGCCAGCTCAACCCAGTGCTTAGCTAGCCTACGCAAAGGTGAGAAATTCGGAATAAAAACCCAATTGTTAACTAACAGTTCTAGACACGAGATCCATCAGTAACTTTATTCGTGGACCAACATGGCTGGTCCCGCATGTATTTTCTAGCAATGCAGAGGCGCAAGTTACTTGTCAGCAGGACCTACCCTATAGATAAACCCGAACCACTCACAAGCGGACAGATTACCTTCCT